GTAAATCTGGCAGGAACGCACTATAGTAACTGATCATCCCCAGGAAGGACTGCAACGTACTGAGATTATTAGGGGCAGGCATCTGTTGAATTGCTGACACACTGGAGGGGTCGGGTTTGCGACCATCTTTGTCAAAAATGAATCCCAGGTACTTCACTGAAGTCATGAAAAAATTGCACTTATCCGGACGTAAATGGAAACCGGAATCACTGAGTATTGTCAGGACTTTATCCAACCGATTGAAGAGTTCGAATTGAGTTTCTCCTGTGACTATGATATCATCGAGGTAAACGGCCACTCCCGATACACCAGCTAATATTGCATCCATTATCTGTTGGAATATAGCAGGAGCAGGTTTAACACCATATGGAAGTCGCTGGAACTGATACAGTCCTTTGTGAGTGTTGATTGTCAGAAGCTCTTTAGAATCATCTTCGACCTCGATCTGTAGGTATGCCTCAGCTAGATCAAGTTTACTGAAGTATTTACCGCCATTCAGTTTGACAAATAGATCTTGCGGTACTGGTAGTGGATACGGTTGATCTTCAAGGGCATTATTGAGTCCTGTTGAGAAATCAGCACAAAGTCTGATGGTACCGTTTGCTTTCTTGACAACCACTATGGGGGCTGCCCAGGATGAGTAATCGACTGGCTTGATTACGTTCAACTTTTCTAAACGATCCAGCTCTGCATCAAGGGACGATAATGCGGCATACAAAAAAAAAAAAAAAAAAAAAAAAAAAGATTCGGCATCAGGTTTGAGGTATAGTCTGGCTTTTTGTACGGTACAGCAACCCAAAGACTCTTGAAAAACGGCAGCGTGTTTGGTGCGAAGATGACTGATGAACTTTGCGGTCGAGTTCGGATGCATCAACATGTTGGTAGGACTATCTGAGCACTGTACATTGGAACAAACTGAGTTCAGTGGGACATCCCAGAGTTTCATCTTTTCGATCCAGTCAATACCAAGCAAGTTCAAATCATGACGATTGGTGATGTAGCATGTTCCTTGGAACGAGGTCGACCGGAAAGTTACGTCGCATTCAATCTGGCCAGATAATTTCATTACGTCACCCGACGCGTTTCTTGCAGTATGCTCCGTTCTCTGATAAGGTGGACACCCGAGTGCCCGCCACGTCTGGGGAGATATGATTGTGATATCAGAAGCAGTATCTAACTGTAGTCGAACTGGCTTCTGGTTGATAGAAAGTGTGACAAACTTTCTTTTTGACTCGAAGTCAACTTTGAAGGTAGCGAACATACTGCTGATTTGAGGTTTCGTCGACCGAGATCGAAACTTTCGTGACTGTGCCATCGTATTGTGAGATCGGATTGATCTAGGTTTCACTGGGGGACAAAATCCTTCCTTGTGACCATACTTGTTACAGATACTGCATTTATGTCTTTTATACGGGCAAAATTTACCAAAATGCCACGATCCACAAAACCAACAATTTGTGGGAGGCTTGTGTTTGACTTGCAGAGAATTGTTTGACTTGACAGCCTGAACAGAAGTAAATTCATGAACTTGACCGTCCTCAATCAACTTCGTGTCATGCTTTAGATTGATGATTCGCTGGCACTCAGCAGTTACCTCCTGTAAAGTCATGTCCGGTTTGCGTTCAATCTCTGCAAGGATTCGGGTACGAATATCACTGTCAACTGAAGATTTGAGACCGCAGACAAAGATCAGGCATTTAAACTGGTCATCCGTAAGTGATCGAATTTTCGATCGCTCGCATTCACGATTCACCTTACCAGCATAGGTGAGAATATCATCTCCTGGATCTTTGGATATCTTGAAACAATTGTAACGGATACTGAAGAGAGATAACTGTTCACCGAAAATATTGGTTAACGTTTGAACGGTTTCTTCAAAGTTGAGTTCTCTGGAGTTCTTTGGTAGAATATGATTGACATATTTGTTATGTTCGGCTGGACCAAGTTTCCGAAGGAGTAGTCTCACTTTGGCCGAATCATCTAGGTGAGCGCATTCAACCCGGAACAGATCTTCATAACGTCGAAACCAAGCTTCAAACGTCACGCCTGTTGAAGGTTCGAAATTGAACTCTACAATTGAACTCCCAATAGATTCGGTTTTCTCTGAGTTGGAACTGCCGAGATTTTGAATTGAAAACTGCTTTGTAAGTTTTTCAATCAAGCTGAGCTGGCAAGCTTCAAACTGTTGCTGTTGTTGATGAAGGAGAAGTTGCATTTGTTCAAATGAAATTGTCATTTGGAAGACAGGCTGGATGTACACTGGATGATCTGGTTTTTATTTGACTGTATTGAACTGCAATGGATTCGAAACCCCGTCGCCAATTGTTATGATGCTAGATCTTTGTCACGAGGTCACTGCTTAACTACTGACCAGTGCCCACTTAACTGGTAAAGCAGAACACGCGAGAATCAGCGGTAAAACCAGGTTCATTTATTATGACAAAAGTGACTGGGATTCGAACCCAGGACCTTCTGGTTACAAGGCGAGCTCGTAGACGAAACGGCTGTCCAGTACTCCCAAATTTTCCAGTGGTTCTCTAACTGATGTCAGCTCATGATTAAATCCTCCATGCAATCAAACAAAATCCCTACAAAAAACCAATACTTGAAAAGTGACTGTATTTATACAAGAAATAAGATAGACTCACAATCAACCAATCCGGTTGAGAGTTGCAATTGTGCAAGTGTCCAATCAGAAAGCAGGATAATTGCATGTTAACGACTTGTTAATAACGCGATAATAACTTGACTGAGACATGATAATGACCTGATAATTGCATGTGTTTTGCCTTTTCCTAACAACATTAGCTAGAGAACCATTGGAAAACCTTGGAGTACTGGACAGCTGTTTCGTCCTAGTTTGAGGCTCTTCATCAGTACGCACCCACCGAGATTCGAACCCAGGACTTTCTGGTTGCAATGCGAGCTAACTCGTAGACCATTAAGCCACTGGGACCCGATCCAATGGTCCTTGAATTCTAACTTCTGCCAATTCACGATATAGCGCGACCGCTAGCCAATGTCTTCGGCGAGTATTTGTCCTCTCACCCGACCCGCTGCACCCTACTGGTCACGACTACTCCCCAGAACCCCAGGCAACTACCTATCTGAATAGAGCAAGGACGAAACAGATATCCAGTACTCCCAGGTTTTCCAATGGTTCTCTAACTAATGTCAGCTCATGATGAAATCATATAACCAATCAAATCCCTACAAACCAACACTTGAATAAGTCCTTTAAGTTGGCTAAAACACATGGCTGTTCCTGTTATGTACCTACAATCGATAACTGTGTGTGTGTATTTACAGTCATTATTTTTGTCACCCTTGTAGTTTCTTCACGATATCAAGAGTAAGGCAAGACTGTTTTTTTTTAGGCCCCACAGCATAAGGTAGAATTCCGTCCAATGAAGGAAGCCAAATCAGGTCAGATATTTCTGAATAGAAATGAATGAATAACAAAATAGAAACGAAATCTCACCTAGTTTGTTAGTTGTGACAAACATCCTCAACTTTATAAACTGACATTATCTCCATCGTAGGCTGGCGTGGGCCAGTTCCACCGTATTTCACTGTATCCTGAAGTAAATTATTCACTCCAGAAGTCAGTAGAAAGTACACACTGTTGAAAGACAGACATTAGACTAGAGAGAAAACAAGCGGAATATAACTACAAGCGTTGGAAATGCAGTGGTGAACAAATAACCAGATGAAGATTGACGAGAATTCAGTGCCTTCTGGCTATGAGGAGGACCCATTGAACCCATCAAGCCAGTGGGATGGAATGCATGAACACTGACTTCTGCCACTGCACAGTATGTACAGCCACTGCTAGTCTGTGTTATCGAAAAGTACCTATCTATCTCTCATCCACTAGGAACAAATTCTAGCCAGTAAGCCAATTCCACGGTGGTAGAACTCATGGGTTACTGGATTCCGCTCTAGTGGCTGAATTAGGTCAACGGGCTCACCTCGTAACTTCTCAGCCCCCAGGTTCATTCTCCAGTAACTCCCAAACTAGGACGAAACACAACTATCCAGTACTTCTTAGTTTTGGGTTGTTCTGCGAACGATATCGTTCCGTGATGAAATCTATTGGAAATGTAAATAGTGTTGTCTTGTGGTAAGACGAATTACCCATTTACGATGCTGATTTGAGCAGAAACTTTCAGCTGTCTGTTATTATTAATATTTTTTTGAACGACTTAAATGCAAAGCTTTCATTTTGCATCGAAACATTTCCTTTTAGCTGTTAGAATTCTCCACGAGTTTATCAGCCATCTCTCCATGGTAAACTTGAAGGTAGGTGACTGATTGTTTGCAGAGATTTTCTCACCCTCTTGTCCAATTGTATTCGCATTGATTATTGTGTTGACCTGATAGTTGAATAATTTTCGTTGATGTGACTTCCTTTTTTATAAGTGTTAATAAGCCTCATCTATATCGGTGGGTTTCTTGAGTCCAGATTCGTCTGAGTACGCGTGTTCTTAGGTATTCTGGGACATTTAGTCTGTTACTTGTTTATATTCGTTATTTTTTTGAACTGGTCAGCTCAGTTGAGTATACTTAACACCAAATAGATAAAAGCCTACACATTACTTGCAAAAGATGCAGATGAGTAGCCCACCTATCAAACCATTTTGTGCCTGAGATGGTAAGATGTAAACTGGCTTACTTCTGGTCTCCCTAAGAACACTATGACTCATCGATTGGCTGAAGACAAAATGTAGAAATCTGTAGAGAAACTCATCATTTAGGGAATTTAAGTACGTGAAAGCTGTGATGGATTAAAATGTATGGGGAAGGGAATGCTTAACTGATGACTAGAATACATTTAGGCAGTAAGTTCCAGGTAGGGTTTACTTCCTCAATTCCACTGGTGGTCGTCGCTAACCAAGTATCTTCAATGAAAGCCCCTTTTCTGCCTAAGCTATTTCTAATTCTATGAAGGATTAAATATTTTTGAGCACTAATTGACACCTGTTTCCTTCTACTTGTAGTATGTGAACTCGTCAACAAAGATGTACATGTGATTGTCAGTCTGACAGCTTGTTACATAGCTGAATATCTCGAAGGAGAGGCCTATCGTTATCATCTACTGCATATTGCAATACCAAGACCAGCATGCACACAGAAGAAGCCGACAGTCAAAACTACAGAAACAACACCACCAACAACAACACTATGGATTCAGATGGATACACATCGTATGGCAAAGGCGTTTTTAGCGATCACTGAAATGGAGCGTGTTTCACATGCACTAATTTTAGCTGATGGTCCAACAGGTCAGGTATTGTCCGTCTTCTTCTTTTCACTTCTCTTTTTTTTCTTTTATGACTAACAATTTTTGTCTTGATAACAAAGAAGGAAGAAGAAGTAGAAACTTCAAATCACTTCATTCATGGATATTGTGCAAACCGAAAAACTCATCCAACAGAAAAAGTAGATAAAATGAATACTGTTTACAAAATAAATTGTATGTATGAACTGTGATAGGCATCACATCGGTCGTCGAAGTGGGCGTCCCCAGGGAATCGAATCAGTATCCAGGGACACAAATCAGCTGTGAAAAGACATGATATATATTCCTGTTTCATATTAATGCATATAGATAATTATGGACATAAGTTTGATAACTGGGATACTGCCGAAATTTTTGACATAGGAAACACCAAAAGTGTAGTCAGGGAACTCCTAGAAGCCTGGTACTCAAACGAATATGCAATTAACAAACATTTTTTGATAGACCAAATCTACCAACTAATAAAAAGTAAATCATGCCACCAGAAAGGTAAAAATCCAAGTCAACAGAAATTAATCAATGCATATGTAAAGATGGTTACCGGGAGACGCAATTCTATCACTCATGAAGAAATTTAAATCAGTTCATTTTACGCCAAAAACTGCGCTGAAGAGGGATGTTGTCCAGCGGGGGGGGGGAGGGACGATGACGAATGCTCCGCAAGTAAACCAACCAGCTCTTCAGAGAACACTACTAACTGCGAACTCCATATCAATATATGTCGCCAAATCCAACAGCTAACCAATCAACAATAGCTGAATCACTATCTTCATGGTGTAATATAGAAAGTACCTCCTTCATTTGTGTATATACCAGTTAGAAGTGTCTTCAGTGTCTGGAATAATCTCCTGAAAAACAGAAATTCTGTTTGAAATTTATCCAATAAAATCGCATGAATTAGGCGAAAGACACTATTGTGAAACAAATTGGATCCCTGGCCACCTCCCACCTAAGTACGGAAGTTTTATCAATCATTTCAGTTAGTTAGCAGTCAATCTGAACGAAGAATATTCTTCTCAGTAAATTCTCTCCAGGCTGTTATAGCTAAGAAATATAGTACGTATAGCTAAAGTGACAGACAGTTATCCGGTGGATAGTTATTTATTATTACTCCCTTGGGTTCCGAGTGAGGAACATAGGGCTGGCTTCAACAACACATCTCCATTTTCTCCTATTCTCTTCCCTCCTATTCAGCTGGCTAACAACACGATTGACCATGATCTCTCACTTCCTCTTCTACAAACGATCTCCTTCGTGTTACCCTCACACCGACGAACGGCTAGTCGCTTCCCATTGGGATTCTACTCAAGCAATGGCCTGCATTGCGAGGAATAATATTCGACCGTCCCCGCAGTGTTTATCCTATGTATCTTCATTTTTTCATGCATATTTGTTGAGCAATAATTTCTTGGATATTTCATTCCCAGGGCTTTTTTTGCTTAATCTTTCTGGCCTGCTGGCCATATTATCTTCTGCATGGATCCAGTGAAGGCAGTTATCGGTAAAAGTCTGTAATTTGTTAGAAATTCTTTCTGTGGTGCGCCAATTTTCTGATCGATCGATATACAAGCACTGACTGACTTTAAATTTGTGTTGTGAATCCAAGTTTAGTTCTTGATGCTGGCTGAATGAGTGCAGAAGATTTCCAGACTGGTTTCAGGTTGATGAAGGCATATCTTGCCTTTCCGATTCTCCCTGGCCCTCTGTGACATCTTAATCCATCCCGCCATATGCGGTTGAAACGATGCTTCATAGAAGTAGTTGTAGAGTGATAAAGTAAATAGTATTCTAAGAGAAAAAGGATATCCATAGAAGTTTATCAAAGCCAACATAGGTTATGATGGTTGCCAGTATGAACTAGTAATTCAAGGGAGATAGATACTCCTACGGAAATTCTATTCTAACATCTAACCACAGCAATAAAGAAGACTTTCTACTCTGTACATCTCTTCCTATTCTTCAGTAGCTATCCAATGTTCATCCCGAAACTGAAAGACGTCTTATCTAATCGTAGCTCTTCCTTGTGCGTCGACTTCACCCGGATATGGTTGACTCTACTGGCCACGACTCCTCAGTATAGGTTGCGTATATCCATCTGTTCAGAAGTGGCCATCAGTTAGTTTGAGGTTGATATTCAAATGACTTACCACACTAATCCTGTCTTTGTCGTATTTCAAAAAAGAAAAAATCCCCATTTAGACATTTAGAAAACAGAAAGATTGAGCGAAGAAATATTTACTTTTTTCAATTAGATCCTCATCTTTGGCTCTACTCTAATATACACCTATAGCATTTTAATTACAATACACAACAGTTTGCCAATCCAGTGGTGATAAGTTTGTTAACAATAATTAAACAGTGTCAATGGGTTAATAGTTAACGAAGAAAATCAATACAGATTTAAAAGGTGGAAATGGATAGAATAAATTAATTTTACAAGAATAACATGTAAATTAAAGATAAAGTGGTCAAAATAAATAAAATAAAATAAATAATTTAGACAAATATAATTTCATAGGTTTAGAGGGAGGGGGTTGACGCAGTCCTGTTTATCCATTCTTGTGACCATGGCCTAGGTAGGGAAAGTGGCTGTACAAATTTTTTCTGTACACATAGGCTTGGCTTCTTCAGATGAATGCCAATCGCCATAGCCATCTGTAGAAGACGAACTTGCAAAGCAAAATTAAGATAAGTTGGAATGCGATAAATAATTTTAAATGCTGTATTAACATCAATCTTATGCTCAGTATCAACGAGGTGGGCTAAAATAGAGCTACGAATGGATCTTTTTTGTCCCTTACTTAACCACGTTGGATGATGTTCAGAAATACGACGATGAACTTGCCTAATTTTACGCCCAATGTAGCTGGCATTCATCTGAAGAAGCCAAGCCTATGTGTACAGAAAAATTTGTACAGCCACTTTCCCTACCGTGGCCATGGTCACAAGAATGGATAAACAGGACTGCGTCAACCCCCTCCCTCTAAACCTATGAAATTATATTTGTCTAAATTATTTATTTTATTTTATTTATTTTGACCACTTTATCTTTAATTTACGTGTTATTCTTGTAAAATTAATTTATTCTATCCATTTCCACCTTTTAAATCTGTATTGATTTTCTTCGTTAACTATTAACCCATTGACACTGTTTAATTATTGTTAACAAACTTATCGCCAGTTGATTGGCAAACTGTTGTGTATTGTAATTAAAATGCTATAGGTGTATATTAGAGTAGAGCCAAAGATGAGGATCTAATTGAAAAAAGTAAATATTTCTTCGCTCAATCTTTCTGTTTTTCTTATTTGTTATGGATGCGCAACTGTAGTATCTGAAGAGGAAGTAGTCGTAACGAATATTCTTTGTTCAGAAATCAGGTTTTTAAGATCTTAATGGGCATTTACAGTCTGTTCAGTGTCAGATTCAGATGATAAGGAGAGAAGGCTCCTGTGGCTTGTGTTAATCCTTGCAATATATATCTTTGCAGAGATCGAGTTTCTCCTTGAAAGCGTTCACCGATGGAGCTGATACTACTGAATCAAGTAAGGAGTTCCAGTCGCTGACGACTGTGTGAGAGAATCTAAATTCTGCACGTATTTTAATCGTCCTCGGTTTGCACCCTCTTTTGGTAACCTCGTAAATGTATCCTAAATGGAGCGAAAAGGTTTGAAAGGCCAATCCTTAAATCACTCTTGAATATACGATAAGTAAAAATTAAGTCGCCTCTCCTCCTTGGGTTTGATAATGGGAGGAGATTTAAATGCTCCATCCTCTTATCAAAAGGAAGGTGTGAGATGCCGCTAACTAATTTCGTTCCTACCCTCTGTACTCTTTCTAGGATATGTGACTTTTTTGAAGCATGGACTCGCCGCTTGTATGCAGTACTCTAGATGAGGTCTGACATATGTTGCATAGAGTACTTGGATCATACCCTCGTCTAGTCCGAAACCTTTAAGTTTACTAAGGAGATCTAAGTGGGATACTTTATCGAAGGCCTTGCTAAGATCGATAAAAACCACGTCCAACAGAATGTTTTTATCTCTGGCCTCAACCCAGTCTTCCCTAGCCAATAGTAGGTTTGTCAGGCAGGATCGCCCTGATTGGAATCCATTCAGTTCCACCGCCAGCAAGCCATGTTTTTTAACGTAAGCTAATATCTGATCCCTTATAATAGCTTCCCATACCTTTTCTATGATGCATGTCGGACTTACCGACTGGTAGGTAGATATCAATTGCCTATCCCCCTCTTTGAAGATAGGGCTTACCATGGCATCCTTTCAGTCCCTGGGTAGCTTAGCCTGGGTCAGAGACATTTGGAAAATCTCCGTAAGTGGAATATATATTATATCTGCCAAGGAAATTAACAGTTTAGGGTGAAGTCCATCTGGCTCAGGTGATTTACCTGGCTTCAGTTTAGAGAGTATTACTATTATGAGCAGTAATAGCACTTTGGTTGAAGATCTAATGGTCTCCTATGTGACTTTCTTTTCTTTAGCTATAATCCATGAGATATCTGAATTGACAATGAAAAGAAAACTTGAAAACGAAAGATTTTACACTGAATTCTCCACACAACTGTTCACAAGACGTGACGACGACAACACCAACAGCAAAAACAGCAACAATCCTATGTACGTATCCAGTGCGTCTAATCGAATTACACTGAACGAGTTTATCAGAACACTGAATGGCAGTAAATCAAGCGATGGCGTTATCGCAAAATCCTATGCAACGCATATATTCTTACTGAATACTAAATACTCTCATCATTTAGATTATTTTAAGCAGGTAAGCTTAACTTTGATTCTTCTCTCTTTTGAGTGTGAAGCGAAATTCCGTCATGCTGATGTAAAGTATTTGCGATTGATTTTGTGTGTATGATGACAAAGTTACAGTGACGTTGGATTACATATTGGTAGTTTTACCAAGAACTTGGCGTTGTCACTGTAAATGCTGCCTATCTGTTTTTATTCTCTGTTGTGAAAATGCTGAGAGGGGTGCTGCTTTAACATGAATCAAGCAACTCTATAGTTACTGGATAGGCTAAAAGTGTCAGTTGACTGACTATTCACCAGTTGACTCACTGATTTTAGCTTTTAGATGGCTAGTGCCTTGGCTACGCCCAGATGTTTTAATTTTACTCCCTTTGGTAGGTTTGATCGAATCGTGTATACTATTTTGAAGGATTTTACGAATGGCGCTGAATTGCGCAGATGTTCTATTGTAACAACAGAAGACAAGGGCCAGGCAACAGATCGTTTTATTATAAAAATCAACACGTATTTATATATATTTCACATACATTATTATAGCTTATGCAAGTAGAAAAGCGCAGTCATCTGATTGGTTGCAGACAAACGCAGGCTTCTGATTGGTTGTTTCGGGATTCCTCTACAAATAGAGTTCTCTATCTGCGAATCATATTTTGCCACGTTAACTTTGCTGTGATTGGTTGTTGAATCAGCCTTGTTCATATTTTCTCACGGCCCATATTAGTGACCTAGACATTAACGTAGATTAGTGTCAACCAATCGGCTAGCAGCCTGCTCTCACCACACTATCACTGAACTATATTACACGTTTTCGTTCTCCTTTTACTAGCCAAGCTGGATAGTGTTCACAAGCGCGTTTTTAAAAATGGCGCATGCTACGGCCGATGTACTCAGCTCCGCTAGAGACCAAGTAAACTGGTATGTGCACGTTGAAGTGGCCCAATGCGACAGCTTGTCTTTCGCGTTCTGGTTGAACAGTTTCTTCCAGAAAAACGTTAGTTGTAGGCTCACGGCGAAGTATGTCTTCGTCAGAGATTTTCAGAGGCGTTTACGAAGAAATTCTGCTTCAAAGTCACCTTTGAATTCTGGATTAAGCAGAAGTATGTTCTTCGGGACGGATTGAACTTGTTCGGAAGTCTTCTTAGATTTGAGGTTCTTGTCTGTGAGCCTAGGCGGTAAACCGTTTTCCATCAGGGTTCTTCGGACATTAATCAGTTCTTCATCAATCACCTCGCTGCATATCTTCTGAATCCTCAAGGAAAGAGCGTATATCAGGTTCCTCTTTCTGCTTAGGGACATGAAGTTTTGAAAGTTGATGAACTATCCAGTCCATGTGGGCTTAATGTACATGAACCTTTTCAGAGTGTTGTCGGCGTTTCTTGTCAGATGGACGTCGAGGAAGTGGAACATTCCGTCGGATTCGGCTTCAAGAGTAAAGTCGACGTTTTGGTGGGCATTGTTGAGTGTTTGAAGTAAATTTTCAAGGTCCAGGTTCTCATCAGAAATGATGGAAGTATCATCAGTCTATCTCTTGTAGAGATGGAAGTCGTCGAAAGTTGATGATAAGGGGTTGTTTTCGAGGTTGCCCATAAAACAGTTGGCTGGGAGGGGTCAGAGTGGAGAGCCCACTTCTACGCCGTCTGTTTGACTGTAGATTTCATCGTTGAATCTGAAGTAGACGTTGAAGGTACAACGTAGTAACAGCTCCTTTAGATAATGGATCGATATGCCGACATCTATGCTGTGTTGCACTGGATGAAGTCACACAGAAAACATGTAGTTTCTGTCAGTGGAACATTGGAATTCATTTTTGCATCCCTTTGTGTTCCGAGTGGAGCACATGGATTCAGGCTTAAGCTATGGTGTTTCAGCAACAGTGGTGTTGCTAGTCTCACACCCCCAGATTTCCCTTTTTGCAGGGATTACTAATGGCTAGCTAGGTGAGGTATAGGGGTACATCGATTGGGAGGATTTTCGCCAGGTACCTATTCTTATTATTAGTTCTTGCAAACAATTCCCATGATATTAAATATTATCGGTCACACCCCGGGCGGCTAGTCAACTTCATGCTGCTTCAGAACAACCGAGCAGTCTAAGGTGGATTAATTTGAGGTGGGAGCTAGTGCGTTCAACATCAAAAGATGAACAGGGACTATTCGACTTTCAGACTGTCTTCATATATATAATTAGCTGGTAATAACAGTTGATGGGACCGATTTCTCACAGTACTCAACTGTCACTAATATACATATACTTTAGCACGCAAATACTCTTCCAACATGATGAAAAAAGATCCTGTGGAAAAGTGACAAGAAAACATGTGTAGAATAGTTTCATTGAAGATGGAAGTGAGGACATTAAGTCTGCAAGGCGGATACGTCAGCATTTATCCACCGGGACTCAATTTAGCAGTTCATAATTTCTAATTTCCTAAAATTTCGAGATATACGACACAAATATAGGACAGTGTAGGTGGTTGCAAATTCCTGTCTGACTCACATCTGACTTAATCGACTACACCTGTCACAATATCTCATTGAGAAGTTTCTTTCTAATGGGTGAGAGAAGTAACATATTCACCTGGTAATTTTAGTTCTATTCCTCATTAGGATGTGATCACCAACTTCTACATCCCAAACCAGAATGAAGTAGATATCCAAAATAGTTGTGGTGGTGTGATTTTCAGTGAATCTTCTTCAAATAATCTTGGTATATGACGCAGATATCCCTTGAAAGTAATCAAATCCCTGAAAATTAACTCATTGGAAAAATTGTGTATTTCTCTGTTCTGAAATTGTTTGTTTCTTTTCCTTCGCGCTGTTAGGAAGGGAATACAAAGCAAACAACCACCCCAAACAGTATACACAGAGTTTCTGCTAAGGATGCAAATGTAAGATGCATCGATTTCTTCAGTCTGCATCTTCAGTCATCATCAAATGACTTCAGTAATAACAATCCCCCACCTAATGTTTATCTCATATCATCATCATCATCATTGTTTCACATATTATTAAACATGACAGAGAAAAAACAACAGTCAGGTGACTCTGGCCGCATCTATGGGGATTTATAACGAAGCATAAGAAATATACAGCCCCTAACCACTTGTCGGGTTTCTTTTGGTCATCTCTCACGGTCATCTTACCGCTTAACATTTCATTAAGGAATCATTCAATGAAAATGCGTATTTACTGAAGATTAGATGACCAACACCAATTACTCTGGCAGATGGTAAGCCAACCAATAAACTACTAATCAACCAACCGAAGAAAAGGGAGATGGATGGATTGAACATACCACTGACTGAGGAGACTTCTGAGTGACATCAGGTATCAGGCGATCAAGTGGAATCTGAAAAGAAGAGGACGAATGGTATATATATACGTGGAGGGGGGATCCGAGTGTGACGTAAAGGAGATAATCTGGGAAGGAAGTGAAAACTTATGGCAGTGATGGAGCCTAGCTAAGACTAATACCGGAGAATAGAATGAAATGGTGGTATGCTCTAAAGCCCTGTGTCCTACTCGGAAACCAAGGTAACAGAATTGATGCATAAAACCAGTTCTCTCTGGCTTGTGCGGATACAACTTCGACCTCTTGATTGTTGGCGCTAGTCAGCTAGGCATATCTGTGATTTTCTAAAGACGACAACGTCCTTCTGGAGATTGCAACTTTCATTTCTGATTACCTTCAGCTACTTAACATTAGTTTCAAAGTGCATTGTGATGACAAGTAACTTAGCGAGCAAACTGCACAGCTTGACTGTTAGGAATCAATCAGCACCAACACGAAGGTGCACCAGCACATGAACTTGATCAAATTCTAGGGACTAATCAGTGCAGTATTATCGCCTTTATTTTCCATAAGAATGAAGATTTTGCAACAGTTTTATGAAGACACTCTGAAATTCCTGTAAATATCTTCCTTCTGTCACTTGACTAATATTTTTTCTACTGTCTGTGAAGTTCAGTACTAATTTGAAATTAGATATCCTCGGCATAGCCTTAAGATAGATGGTATCAAATTATGGCACATCGGATCACTTGAAAGTAGCTTGTCCGCATAAATATTCTGCAAACTTAATACAGTACTAATATTTCTGTGCTGAATTATTTGGTCTCATATTGGTGTATAGTATCTCCCCCATAACAGATATCTCGGTTTCTCGATTGAGGTGAATTGATTTCTCGTGACTAAAAGTGGAGTCTAAGATGTACAGTTCATCCTAATCAAGTCTGAATAGCTCAACGAATGTGTGGTCCCACTCAATAAACGACGCTTCAGCGTCTTAAACAAGAGTTTAAATCACAGTGGAAACATAGTCACTCACTGGAACTCAGGTAAATTCAGCTGATTAGTCCCAAAGCGGATGTTTCGTCTACTTATAGTCATCACCAGTCAGAATATCTCCAGTTAGAAGCATATGTTTATGGTAGGATTAAATCAGTCAAGGTCAGACCTGTCAACTGGGACTAGAAGATAACAAGAGAGAAGTATAGGTGTACAGGAATGTCCTTTGCCAACCATAAGGTCTTAACTCTTAGTGACACCAATTTGGACCACCGAATGACTCCAGTGAGACAACCACTGAAAACCAGGGAGTACTAGACAGCTGTTTTGTCCTAGCTTGTGACTCTTCAGGAGTAAACACCCATAACACTACTAGGAATTGGACGCAGGACCTTCAGATTACGTGGCCATTCACCCACTGAAATGGAATCTAATGGTCCATGGATTACAGCTACCACTGATTCGCGATAAATGTTGAGCTCACTTCTCAACTATCCCACTTACCGTATTTCACTTAATAGATAAACATATCATGTAACTCTTGAACAGTTCATCTGATAAAGTACTTCAATTTGTTTGGCTGCCTGACATTCAGTTTTGATCCTTGTGTTGTAGATTTTTGAGAATTCTAATATCACAAAGAAGTACTACTGGATTTTTGATGAATTTCCTGATCTGTCAGTTAACCATCTGTTAGACATCATAACACTCTCCAAAGTTAAAGACATAAAAATAGGCTTTTTTCGACAATTCCCTGTATTGAATTTCGACGATTTATCAGAGCATGAATTAAGAAAGGGAACACAATTGTTGATTAAATCTGCACTGGATGGTGAAACACATGTCCTACCTGTAAGTTGTGCGTGTATGTGTGTTGGTGGAGATTTGTACCAAGTATCACTTCTTTCTTAAATTTTTAAACTGTCAGTAAATTTCGTTATATTGGCAAGGGAAGAAAAGCAGCTCAGTTTTATCAGTTCAAGTCTGACCCTCGATTGAAACCCGAGTGGAAGACGACAAATTGAGAGTCGGTGCGAGAGTGACATGTAGCGGGTTGTGTAAGATGGAGAGGAAAGTTTATGGGTAGTCTCTTTGAGATAGCTAACAAAGACTACAGAGGAATGAGTGAGATGACGATGTTCTGCTGAGACCCAATGGAATAATAATGATAATTACTATTTTCTAACACTATGTGATAAATATGAAGTCAGTAAACTGAACTGCATTTCGAAAAGGCATCGTTTTTGAATAAACTTAGTTCAACTTATTCATGCGTAAATTATTGTGTAGCTATTTGTAAGAAATTATATTTGCAAAATCTCAGCGAAACTGAAATGATTAATTTATCACTATCTGACTGGCCTAAAGATTAATTTCTTTAATATAATTACGAATGTACAGCTCATGAAAATGAATCGTCAAAAAGAAACTTTTCTTCGCTGTTCACACCTTTCACTCGTGACTCCATGTGGGAATATTTCGTTCATGCATATTTTTCATCTGTGCAATCGTGAGCTGTTTCAGAAATAACTAGATTGTAGTAACTTTATTACTTCTCCACAGAATTATGACGAGTGTACCGTAATGAAATAGAAGCACACCAAGTTTTCTCTAACAGGACTGGCATTTATGTGAACGTTAAAAAACGCACGCCAGTATTATAAAAGCAAAGTCTGAGTGTTTTATTATTATTGTTCCCTTGAGTCCCTAGTGGAACAAAGGGCTTCAACTCCACGTATCCACTTGCCACTTCTGTCTTCCTTCTGCTCTACTTTTCACCTCCATCCATCCACGTTACTCCATACTCTTTCAACTCCTCTCTCTTCACACCATCTCCTCCATGTCACCCACCCTTGCACTGACGTCCCACTCGCCGCTTCCCTTCCGGCCTGGTTCCACTCCAGAAATGGGCTGACCCCCGTGCGATGTCACCCAGCAGCCCGCCTCCTCAGCGAGCGAGTGTCCAATCCATCTCAATCCACTTTCTCCTGCATATTTGTTGGTTGGTTGGCGATTGGTTCTTGTTTTGTTTGTTTGTTTGTTTGTTACCGTAGTTTCCCATAGTTGGTGTTTCTTTTCGGCCCGGCCATCTGATCTGATCTTCAGTAAAGAGCCAGCGAAGACAGTTAGTTGTTGATAAAGGTCTGGTCTGCAACAGGCTGTTGGTGGAAATATTCTTTGTGACCCGCCCACCCGCCAAGTTTCTGATCGGATCCGTATAGAACAACTGACTGACTTGACGTTGTTTGTATTGAAAATCCGACCGAATTTTGTTGTTGATGCTGAGTTGAGTGACGAAGATTTCCAGATTGTTTGTTTCAGGTTGATGAATAATGTGTTTCTCGCCTGCCTTCCCGATTCTCGCTCGATTTGACATCCTCGTCCGTTTCGACTGGCTGTAGTTGAGACAATGCTCCCTGGCTAGATAAGTGAATGAAGTAACTAACCTCTTTCAAATCCCTCGCGTTGATGGTGATTGGCGCTGGATGTTGCTGCTACTGTTGTTGTTGTTGGTTATTTTCATAACCTCCGTCTTGTCTGTGTTCACATGGAGTCCTGTCTTCGCCGGCTGCTTCTTCAACCAGTTTGTCGGTTTTCGCTTGTAAGTCTTCGAATTTGTGTGACATCAAACATAGATCATGCGCGAAATCCAGGTCTTCTAGGTTCTTAGCGTCAGTCCAGGATATCTCTGTCTTCTTGTTTTCCACTGTCTGACGCATAATCCAGTCCACAACAATTAGGAATATCATTGGTGATAATAAAAAAGCACCCTTGTCTGACTCCTGTGTTTACTCCAAACGCCTCGCTGAGTTTTCCGTTGTGGATCACTTGACATGTTCCGTTGTTGTACAGTTGTTGAATAAGGTTGATGAATATTTGAGGTACGCCGTAGTACTCGAGTAGTTTCCAAATTACTTCGCGATCAACGCTGTCGAAGGCCTTCTCAAAGTCTATAAAGTTGAGGTAGAGGTTTGATTGCCATTCCATGCTTTGTTCTGTGATGATGATGCGTAGAGTTGCAAAAATTTGGTCAGTACATGATTTGCCTTTCCTGAATCCAGCTTGTTCTGGTCGGAGTTCTGTATCCATTGCGTCCTTTATTATCTCCAGGATGATGCGACTCAGGATTTTACTTGGCGTCGACAGGAGCATGATTCCTCGCCAGTTCTTGCAGAGTGAGGCGTAAGTCGCCCTTCTTTGGTAGTTTCACGAGGTAACTTTCCTCCAGTCAGTAGGCACCTTTCCCTCCTTCCAGACCTTTTGCAATAATGGAGTCAGCATATCTGCTGTCGTCTCTGGGTCCGCTTTCAGTGCTTCAGAGGGTATTCCATCTGGTCCAGCTGCTTTTCCAGCTTTCAGAAGCTTGATTGCATTCAAGACTTCAGCTCTCGTTGGAGGATTGGTGTCAACTTGCAGTTGTGTACGTGCTGTTGTTGGTATTTCTGGACGGGTTGCAGGTGATGGTCGGTTCAAGAGTCCTTTGAAGTGATCCGCCCATTGTTTAATCTGTCTTTCTTCCTTGGTAATTGGGTTCCCTTGGCTGTCTTTTATAGGTTTCGCTTGTGTTGATCTCTTCCCGGATAGAGATTTGGTTATCTGATATAGTGTCCTCAGGTCCCTTTTGCCTGCTGCCTTCTCAGCTTCAGTGGCGAGGTTGTCGTAGAATCGTCTTTTGTCCTTCCTAGCACTCTTCTTCACTTCTTTGTCCAGTGCTGTGTAAGTTGAGCTCAGCGTCTCCTTCTCCTGTCCGTCCTTGCATTGAATCATTTTCTCTTTCACCATTCTCCTCTCTTCTATTAATTTCCAAGTGTCCGTTGAGAGCCATTCTTGTCTTGTCTCTTCTTTCTTCCTAAAACCGTTGAACACGTTTCGTTGAGAATCGCCTTCAGAGAGTTCCAATGGTCTTCCACGCATGATTCTTCAGTGATGTCGCGTAGTGTTTCCTGCTTTGCTCTGACAGTTGCAGTGAAAGTGTCTTTTGTGGTTGTGTCCTTCAGTAATTGAGTGTTGAACTTGCATTGTGGCCTATCCCCAGCTATCCTCGAGGCTTTTAGTTTCACCTTGAAAGTCCCTTGTACTAGATAGTGGTCTGAACCCACATCTGCTCCTCTCCTCTACCTTGTGTCCAGTAGGCTCCGTCTCCACTTCCTTGAGATTGAAATGAAGTCTATCTGGTTTTTGGTGTTTCCATCTGCTGAAATCCATATCGCCTTTTGTATATCCTTGTGTTTGAGCACACTGACACCAATCATCAAATCATTGAAGGCGCAGAAGTCTGAGAAGAGTTCACCATTGTCGTTCATTTCACCGAGGGCCTCACGACCCATGGTGAGTTCTCTTCCTGTATTGTTTCCTCACAGCTTCGCATTCATGTCGCCCATCAGGATTTTGATATCGCCATTTGGGACGTTGTCCATTATTGCTTGTAGTTGTCTGTAGAACGCCTCCTTCTTTTCTTCTTCTGAGACGTTTGTAGGCGCATAGCATTGGATGAATGTAACCTTCCTTCCTTTTGAGTTGAACGTGGCTGTCATTATCCTGGAGGAGATTGGTTCCTACTGCATGAGAGCTTTGGCTGATGTTGGTGACATCATGATGGCCACTCCCTCGGTGTGTTCGTGGTTGTCCTCTGGGTGACTGTAATAGATTACTGTCTCTCCAGTTGATGGTTGGTACCTTCCACATCCGTTCCATCTGGTCTCGCAGATACCCAACTCTTTGATTCCATATCTTCGCATTTTTGTGGCTACCTGGGTAGCCTTTCCAGTTTCGTACATTGTACGAACATTCCAGGTACCCATCCTTATTTTTGTTTTCATCGAAAGAAGGCACATCGGCTGACTGGCTTCCCGAAGGCTTTCACCAGCCTGCGTCATTTCACTTTCCCGATTCCAGCGTAAAATAAGGTTACTATTTATACTTTTAGAATTTTTAATATATTGGCGCATTGAAGTTTCTGTAGCGGTTTGGTTGAGTTTTGGGGGTGGAGTTTCGAGCACCATGCCCCAACCCTTCCTCTTTATCCGGGCTTGAGACCGGCTAGAAAACTATCAAGCTAGTAGTCTAGGCGAGAATTTGAGTGTTTTAACAGAATATAACTCCATGTTAGTTTTCTGAGTGATACAGTACCATTTGTGAATAACAATGCAGCATTTTTCGCTGTATTCTTGGATTCACAACAGAAACTGACAGTCATCATTGTTAATTGTCGCCAAATAATAATAATTATAATACCTGTATCACTGTGCGCTACACTAAATGAAAATGCTGCCTATAGATGAAGTAGTGCGGTTATATTCACGAAAATCGCTCCCTTATTGTGTGTCACAATGTACACATAACTGTATATTGCATTTGCCACTGTTATGCTTATGTGTTAGGAAGAAATACGGGAAGAATAAATGTCTAATAACTAAAAACTCTTATTGATAACCCGATTATCTGTAACCTAACTTAAAAGACATAACTCCGAGCGCATGATTCATCGCTTATTTCACAGGAACGCGTAACAATTGCTGCCTATATGATAATGATGAGCAACCAAGTGGCGAACTTTATGAAATCATTGGGTTCCGTCTACTTAAACCGTACTGGTTCAACTTGTGATCAAATCGATCCTTATGCTGATGTATTCGGTGGTCGGTTGTTCTACGAAGTTTTCAGCTATGTAAGTTGCTTTATATATTGCATTTCAAAAATGTCAAATTTTGTAAACAGCATAGCATAGTTTACAAATGAAACGGTTTATACCATGGTAGGAATTAGTCAATGTTCTGAAGGTGGATTAGTAGTTGTCAAATCAACAGACATTTCAAGTTAGGCCAGGGATTGAAATCAGTGACAGAACTATTGAAAACCAAAGAGTACTGGACAGCTGCTCCGTCGCAGACAATGTTATTTTGTAGTCAGTCACTAGTGAGTAGACGATATAAATGGCAGGTGGTTGAGCTACACAACACAAACTGGCGGAAACTAGAATTCACTGATCATTGAATCTGTTACGATGCCAAGATGTTCAACGAGCTTACCTCGTAATTGGAAGGCAATGGTCTTGCTCCCCAGAGGTAGGGTGATAGATGAGTACTGATGTAGGGCGCGAAAAAGAAGTACGAAACAGCTATTCATTACAACCTAGTTTTCAACAGCTCCATCTCTGATGTCACTTCGTTATCTGCGAGACATGTTCTTTTTGTTGAATCGAGAAATGGCCTTAAAAGAGCTGATCAGTCACAGTACCCAGTTCAGCACTTTCATAGATGAAGGGAAAACCGTACCGCTACAAAATCTCAAACAGCCTACACTCCACCAACTATTTATTATTGTCCGCTTCTGCTCTAACATGAAATCATAGTCAAGTCTTAACGAATAATCGGAATATCATCAAAGTGGAAACGAAATTGACTCTTAACTCCAGGCAATATTTGCCAAAGTAACAAGCATCAAACAACTACAAGACTTGCTTTTACTTCCAAAATTATAAACATCTTCACTCCTCAAAGTCAGATTATACCGACCGACCAATGAATGTCGGGTTGAGTGTCTTAAGCGTAGAACTTTCAAATGATGATAACACTGTGGTACACCTACATTTGTATGTTTCGCTTATTCCCCCCCCCATACACATGCCATAAGATATTTTTAGCCAAGTCAGCCACAGAATAACACAGATATGCGAATGAAATATAATGAAGTAGACTCCATGTCCCCCTAGGTAAGCACACAAACACTAACACAAAACAAACACACTAAGAGAAATTCTCATTTCAGCGAAATGATAACATTCTCCATAGGTGTGAGATATTTGCTGGTTATTATATAAGTCCAAATGTGCTCAATAAAACAAATTTGGTGTGGGGTAGGAGTAGATAGTCAACCTACTACACTATGCCCATTGAATCGCAGCAGTAGTAGTACACACACCTGAAATGATTCACACCATACATAAGACCGTTGCTTGTGTGTGTGTGTTCCCGTGCAATATACAGATAGGAATAAATATATAATCCAATTGATATTTAAGTGTTGGTTTGTAGGGATTTGTAGGGATCTTATCATGAGCTGACATTGGTTAGAGAACCATTGGAAAACCTGGGAGTACTGGACAGCTGCCTCGCCCTAGTTTGCGACTCTTCAGCAGTACACACCCACCGGGACTCGAACCTAGGACCTTCTGGTTACAAGGCTAGCGAGATCGTATACCATTAAGCCACTGGGACGCAATCCAACTGAATTTTAGATTTTCCCATCGATTGATTGAACCGAAGTGCTCGGTCTCAGGTTGACATGTCAGCTTCTTGTGCAGATGCTTTGACGATGTCTGGGAATGTAATTAGAAGGCAATCGGTGGATGATGACTAGCAGTGGAATCCAGGGTGCGCATTTCATCTTATTCCGGACTCGTCACCTGGATATACCTGCTAGTTACCATCCACCAATTAAATTCTAATTAAATGCCCAGACGTCGTCGAAGACATCTGTTCCGACTCAGCATGGGCTCTTCAAGAGGATGCCGTCATAATCCTACCACTCATTTTGATGGAATTGAATAACCGATGAGTTCTGACTTCTGTGCTTTGATGATTTTTAACTTCATCGCCATCCGCTTTCACAGACAACTTACAGTCCTCATACCTGCTTGTGGTGCGTCACGGTGTTCAGTGGTATCGAGAATCCAATTTATTGTTTTTCTGACTACCTGAAGTGAATATAGATAATTGGATTCAAATACGATGGAGATAAGAAAGCCACTTGACAGTGCGGATTTCATACATCAGAAGGTGCCACCTGACTAAATCATTATTTCATCATGAGCTGACACTGGTTAGAGAACCATTGGAAAACCTGGGAGTACTGAAGAGTCCCAAACTAGAACGAAACAGCTGTCCAGTAATCCCAGGTTTTTCAGTGGTTCACTAACCAACGTCAGCTCATGACGAAATCTTGCAACCAATCAACCAAATCGCTACAAACCAATACTTAAATCATTATTCTTCATTCCAGTAATCAACACCCAGACATCATCTTGGATGATGTCCAGCACTGAAAGAATAATTAGTTGACTGGTGTCAAACCTCAGCGGAGAGAGCACAGGACTCGTTGATCGAAATCCGTCTGTCTGGCTCTTGACGCGACCATGATTTTCATTCCATTGACCAAACCAATCCTGTCACAGACAGCCTCACTATATGTTATTTATAATATTCAGATTGAGAATTCGATTGCCGCTTTGTTTCTCACTATTAGTTCAGTAGTCAGACTGTTAAGCGTCGTTGGTTTAGGAGTGGAATACCTGCCAACCATGCATTTGGTCCTGATTCATCTGCCCGCCCAGACACTCCTAAATCTTGTGAGCCGATAGTGAGCCAGGAAACAAAAGGTAACCGGTTTGAGTATGGAATTAGCAACCTCACCCTGTGAAACACGTGTGCTTCTGAGATTTGAAAGCCTAAAGCTTGAAACCCCAATGGTCCACTGTGAAAAGGAAAGGTTGAAAAACAGTTAGAGTGTGCTTCCCTTTGAAAATTTCTTATACCTAATCAGACAGCAAATATGAGATTCGATTATAACAGACGACTGTCGACTGTTTTATTTTGTACAAACTCAAAAAATCCATGAATATTAGTGTTCAACTTTGGGTTTGTCTCTTCTTCATCATTTTTGCTCATTGTGTTTCTCTCATTCTAGGGGTCTGGTTCCAGTAGATGGAAATCTTTCTGGTTTTATTCACTGGATAACTTGAATGATACAACGAATCATTTCATAGCCACAGCACAATACACTCCCAACGACTATATGCAACTTACCAGTAGAGGAGTAAAAATTAAACAAAAAAGTTTGAAGAGTGGTTTGTTCTCAACTGTTTTCCAGTCATTCATCGGAAAAATCCTCCGCATATCAACAGTTCTTGTGAGTGTTTGGTTCAGTTGAGATTTTATAAATTTATTTTATTTTGACCATAGCTTGATTTCACACCGTATCTTTTTGGTACAAGTATGGAATTTTCAGCATGTGATATCGATAGGCCAAATGTTGCAGGCCAACCATTGATATCAGGTGTATGTCGGCCATGGATTGAACCCCGGACAGTGTGCATAGTCAACGAGAGTCCTAACCGCTGTGCCACCGACGCATGGATATTTCCTGACTGGTACTAACTCACTACATGGCATGCGTTTGAGGAGACATACACACACATACATTGTCAGATGAAACTAGATAACTTTGTTCCATAGTCGTGTGGGATCTCCATAAAACTACTCATGAAATGAAGACTCAAGCATACTATCTACATGATAAATATCGGCTTTACAAATGCCTACTGGTTAGTTATACTGCAAAAATTAAATAGGCGTAAGCAAGCCGTTTTCAAGTCAAATTCTTTAGTGACCAGCTTTTACATGGAAGTACCCTAAGGAAATGAACACTTCTAGGTGTTTAGACTATCACTATATAAACACCTTTCATTAGCATGCTACACACTTTTATATATATATATTAGCAATCCACGACATATTTCAGAATATTTTGATACAGATTTATTAATGACCACATTTTGTGAAACTTTGGTTAGTGCTGAGCCCTACAAATACAAGTAAAGTGTAACGTATGTGGGAAACTGCTACTAGTGAGCATTTTTTACTTCCGTTGACTTTTATTGTAACTTTACAGCTTTTGAAAGCAAAATAAACCTGGAAACAAAATTATTCCCCGAACTTTTAATGAAGTAACAAGGATACGCAAACTTTACAAGTGTCATCAAATTTGGACAAAATAATTCTCCCCATTCTGTTATCACCATGCTGTTTCTATGCTTGAAAATTGACCCAGTTACCGCCTTAGACAATAAGAAAGGAGATAAGATTTTGTTCACGTATTCCTAACTGGCTGTTTCTTCGATATCTTAGTTTCAATTTGCTGTCTGAAATCACTCTGAACAGACTCCATGACTGACCGAAAGCTTTCATCTCCCCTTCAAAGATATACTCTTTAGCGTTACCCTCAGCCCCACTCCCGACCCGTCGTTTTCCATTGTGGTCGTTGTTTGGTTCTTCGCTAGAGTCCGTTTTTGTTTATGCTTTCGAACTGCCCATGTAATCTTCACTGTCGAGTGAAGGTGGTTTTCGTTGGAAGTCTAGAGCTAGTAACCTAGGCTAATTTACCACTCCGTCTTCATTTGGGGACGGACAAGAGGTTCGAAGTGAGACTCTAACCTCCTCCCACCCACAATGAAGAATAAATTCACTCTCAGAAACCACATGCACACATTTAGGTTCTAGTGTATTGCGTTTACTTTTCTGCGTGTTGAGTGAACCACATTTTCACTGTGCACTACACTGCACTGCACTGCACTGCACCGTTATTCGACAACGAACTTGTATCTTGGACAGCCTTAAAGAATTTCTGCATTATTTATTTCATTCATTTTCTATAGGACCCACCATTTGTTGTCACTGGTCAGATTGGTGAAAACAGAGAGTTATTTAACGCTACAGGATTTGCTATTGATATATTGAACGAGTTGGCTATACGCTTCAACTTTGGGTAAAGAATTTTTTTGGATGACTTTACATGAACTTATTTGTGAGTGAATTGTTTAAGGGGGGGGGGGGACAAGAAGTGGACAGAACCACTTTGTGGACTTGAAAAGTTACTTCATATTGAAGTTAGCACTGAATATGTTGTCTAGACACACAATGACAGACAGCTTGTCAATCAAACAACCAAGGTCATAGAACACACCGATAGCAAATACAACCACTTGAGTTATCAATCTCCCTAAATATTTTGAGTGAATGTTAAACAAGGGAACCACAGCAAAAAACAACAGACAAACAGGAAGACTGTAAGTTATATCACAACAACTAGGCGGTGAGAAAGTGAATGCAGTTCAGACAGTAGTAAACCATAAAATGAGAAAAACAAGACTTGTGGAAGATGACAGATTACTGAAGAGTCTAGGTGATAATAAGAGGCCACGGAATAGTCTAACCATCTTGATTGGCGATGTGCCTGAATAGTTTATTGCTTATATCAAACAAACCACCCTCCTAAATATATATAAAGTGAAGTGAAATGAATAAAAGACTTACTGATATTTTGTGTGTGATTATTTTTCAGTTAAGTGAGATTGACAGCATCGGTGAATAGTTACATGCAAGTAGGATACTTTATATATGTGGTTCGAAAAATTACTAATGATGATAATTACGCGTAATCAATCCAACGTAGGCTGGCTGATTGACTATTGATCCTGTTCACGTTTGTTTAGCTTCTTTGTATCACAGCCTCAGTGAACGATCTACGAAATGAGCATTTATTCACTTATTATTAATATTCCCTTGGGTTCCTAGTGGAACATAGGGCTTCAACTCCACGTCTCCACTTGCCACTTCTGTCTTCCTTCTGCTCTACTTTTCACCTCCATCCATCCACGTTACTCCATACTCTTTCAACTCCTCTCTCTTCACACCATCTCCTCCATGTTACCCACCCTTGCACTGACGTCCCACTCACCGCTTTCCCTTCCGGCCTGGTTCCACTCGAGAAATGGGATGACGCGCGCGCGATGTCACCCAGCGGCCCGCCTCCTCAGCGAGCGAGTGTCCAATCCATCTCAATCCACTTTCTCCTGCATATTTGTTGGTTGGCGATTGGTTCTTGTTTTGTTTGTTTGTTTGTTACCGTAGTTTCCCATAGTTGGTGTTTCTTTTCGGCCCGGCCATCTGATCTGATCTTCAGTATAAAGCCAGCGAAGACAGTTAGTTGTTGATAAAGGTCTGGTCTGCAACAGGCTGTTGGTGGAAATATTCTTTGTGACCCGCCCACCCGCCAAGTTTCTGATCGGATCCGTATAGAACAACTGACTGACTTGACGTTGTTTGTATTGAAAATCCAACCGAATTTTGTTGTTGATACTGGCTGAGTGACGAAGATTTCCAGATTGTTTGTTTCAGGTTGATGAATAATGTGTTTCTCGCCTGCCTTCCTGATTCTCGCTCGATTTGACATCCTCGTCCGTTCCGACTGGCTGTAGTTGAGACAATGCTCCCTGGCTAGATAAGTGAATGAAGTAACTAACCTCTTTCAAATCCCTCGCGTTGATGGTGATTGGCGCTGGATGTTGCTGCTACTGTTGTTGTTGTTTGGTTGGTTATTTTCATAACCTCCGTCTTGTCTATGTTCACCTTGTCTGACTCCTGTGTTTACTCCAAACGCCTCGCTGAGTTTTCCGTTGTGGATCACTTGACATGTTCCGTTGTTGTTGTACAGTTGTTGAATAAGGTTGGTGAATATTTGAGGTACGCCGTAGTACTCGAGTAGTTTCCAAATTACTTCGCGGTCAACGCTGTCTGTCGAAGGCCTTCTCAAAGTCTATAAAGTTGAGGTACTGGTTTGATTGCCATTCCATGCTTTGTTCTGTGATGATGATGCGTAGAGTTGCAATTTGGTCAGCACATGATTTACCTTTCCTGATTATTATGGTATTATTATTATCATCATCATCACCAGTTGGGAGTCTAAGGGTGATATATAGGAGACTATGTCAGGTGGCGATGACAGCTTAATGTGTAATTGTCAAGCCAGCTAGAAAAGACATGAAAAAAAGCAAAATGAAATGATGGAGGTGTGCTGTTGAAGTTCCTTTGATCCACTCGTAAACAAAAGGAATACTGCTCATAATATACATTATTAGTATGAGGCTATTCTGATTAGTTGTTCAAGGTTATTCAATGGGTCGTTCGTTCACTTAGGTCGTAGTAACCTTATGACCTTATTTTTACTACTAGTTTAAGTAGTCTAGACAGCAAATAATTCGCTGATTAGCTGAATAACTTTCAGCATAGATTGATATTGTAGGCACCACCAGAGTTATCATGGTAAATCAAAATGGCTACATTTGTTGTCCTTGATAATAATAATAATGCCCTTTTTTATGCTCACTATTTATTAGTTATCGCTTATTTATACCAGAGAATGGTACATACGGCGCATTAAACGAAGGCCAGTGGGATGGGATGATGGGTGAACTAGTCAACGGGGTAAGAAGCAGCTTTTTGTATGAAAAATCCAGTTAATGTAAAATGAAGCATAATCAATCTGTAAATCATACTATTTTAATGTGTTGTCTGGTCATTGTACAAATTAACAACAAATTCATCCTTCATGTCATCTCTCAGCTTTCAACAAAAACATACCATAAGAATTTGTCGATTTGTCAATATTATACGTAATGACTGACAAAAATAATGTTCTTAAAACGATACCAAACGGTTAATCTTATTTTGATTTGGTTAAGAACCTTGAAGAATGCAGTTTATATGCTGAAAATAGGCCAAGAGTTAATCAACTGATGTTGGTGCTGATTCTTGTAACAAAAGAGACTGGAAGGATTTTCTCTTGTGGTTTGCTAGAGAAGATAATGTGAACATCACCGAGATCATGATTATTTCCTTGTTTATGCAATCTTACATCGTTTTCATCACAAGAAATGCGATGAAAGTCAACATAGATCAGTATGTGTTATAACTATTATCCTGAGGTGAAATAGCCAATAAGGCAGAGTAGACAGATTGTTTTTCAGATTACGGTTTTTGTTTGTGCAGAGAAGATATCGAAGCCACGTCAATCCTTTTATATATTGAGTCTCTGTGCTTTTCTGTCCCCACCTTGAATGAGTAGACACGGAAGTAGGGGGGTGGGGTGGAGTGGGTAGAGGAAAGTTACCACTTCTTCTGAGAGTCACTTGCAAGTGACATAGGGAGCCAGTACTTCATGGCAGTATATTTTTGCTCCTTGGCTGTTAATTCTCGTGCTGTATCATCTGACGTGTTCTGACTCTGGTATAAAAGACAAGAGGAGATAAGATAGATCAGGTCCACAGTTATTTCTAAGAATCCCGAATATCGTGTTTAAATCTCGTTTCTACTTACGATAGATGGGATTCGTTAGTGGCTCGTGTAACTAACAATTGGTGATACTGGGGAATATACGAGTGACTATTCCCTAAATTTTTTCAGTATGCATGAGTTAATTTAATTAAATTTTAGACTTACCCATCGATTGATTGGACCGAAGTGCTTGGTCACAGGTTGACATATTGGCTTCTTGTGCAGATGATTCGACGATGTCTGGGTATGCAATTAGAAGGTAATTGGTGGATGGTGATTAGCAGTGGAATCCACGATGCGATTTTCATCCTATTTTGGACTAGTCATCTGGATGTACCTGCATTCCCCAGTGAGTGATAATGTTCCCACCAAGGCTCTGAGACCGAGAACTTCTGTCTAGTCAATCGAAGGAAAAATCTAAAATTCAGTTATGTAATTAATATGATCCGTTGCACAAAAGGTGACTCTCGTCGTCCAAGTAGTCTAGTAGAAAGCGCTTTGGCTGGGCACTGGGTTCGAGTTCCGGGGAGAGCATGATCAATCACTGGGGGTACATCGAACTGACGAGTCCCAAATAGGACAAATGAGCATCCTGGATTCCACTGCTAGCCATGGTCCTCCAATTAAATGCATAAGTTAACTTAAGGACGAATGCTGGTTGCCTGGATGCGGTTTTAGAGTTCACGTCTTACTAAGAATGTATAGAATATGTGACTGGCGATCCTAGCAATGAACCTATGTATTACTAGTCAATATCCTCGATTGTAGCAGTTCTCTGGTTGGTGCTTTCACAGACAAAATCATCGTGTGAATTGAACCATTAGTTTGCAGGTGTGATATCTGTGTAGTGCTGTTTCTTTGAGTGTTGGAAATTCACACTGCCGATCTGTTACATTTTTCTATTTTCCATTTCACAAAGCTTCTGTGTTAGTGATTAACCGTTAAGCATAACAGCTGAATACGAGGCCGAAACAACTTACAAAAATCACAGAACAATTATTATGAGTTTAAAAACGAATTACACACTGTTAGGCAGCTGGCGAAATATGGGGGAGGGGGAGGGAATAGTATACCCACTGATCACCGGGAGGTAACCAATCTCATCCTGTTTAGCTCTCAGTGCTGGCTGAATTGTATCAATCAAGTTTTCAATGTGGTCAGCAAGTTAGACAACTCGCCACGGAATTGATAATTGGAGGAAATCAGCAGGAATGTCTGAGCACAGGTTTCATGTTCATTGACACTTGTCAGTCAACAAGACATGTCTGAAAATTATGAATGCAGTATCGGATGATGGGGTTTTCAATCTTCGGGATACACAAGTGCCTATGAGGTTGCACAGTCACCTCAGATTATCTAAAATGATGAACAATAAGTGACACACATCATATGATGGGTAAGGAGTTATAAGCAGGCCTACAGAAATTGATTGTGCAGCAATGTTTTTAAATGTTTTTGTGCAAAATCAACTGATAGGCGTGAATGCAGTAGGAATTGGTGAAGCTATATAATAAGTCTTTCAGAAGTATAATGTGTTTCGCCTTATCTTTTAATATATTTCATGTCAGGTCCTCTTGTCTACTTGTCTAATTTTATTCACTGCTAGAAAGTCGATATGATAGCCGCCGGTTTAACAATTAGCCCGAGAAGAGCAAATTATGTTGAATTTATTGGTCCAATAGTTGAAGATACAATTGGTGTGCTTGTCAAACCATCAAGAGCCAATGGTTACTACTTCCAAGTGTTTTATTTATTTAAACTTGATGTATGGATCTCTATTCTATGTTCAGTGGTCATTCTTGGGGTTACAGTCTACCTGTTCAACAAGTACAGTCCATTTAGTGGATGGAATTTACAACATTCAGAAACGAATGCGGCAGATGAAGCATCACTTATACATAATTTATGGATTTCACTGCGTTGTATGCTGCTTCAAGGTAAGATGAAAACTATACACACTTTTGTGCAGGTTGACAACATTTTAAACAACAATGGTGAACTATTTATTGACCATTGCATTATTGAATATCAGGATTCATTTTATGTTTCATTGAATGATACGCTCTCCACATCAGGTATATACGCAACATTTTTAATTTACGTTGTGCTTTATCAGTGAAATACAGTAGCCAACTAAATCAAGATTCTTCTTTTTTGACCGACCTGAAACACCTTGTCGGCTTTTTTTCTTTTTTCTTCCTTCACGTTCCCAGTGGAACATAGGGCTTCAAGCTAGTGGCTTGAGTTTCTGAAGCAGTGTTTATTTTTACAGGATGGGGTTGTTAGCCTCATGCCCAACCTTTCCTCTTTACCAGCATCATTTCTGGCTTAGCGAGGTAAGGGAGTGCGTCGGTGGCCGGGGATCGAACCCCGGACCATGTGCATGGTCGGCGAGCGTCCTAACCACTGTGCCACCGACGCACATCCCTGACGGCTTAGCTGTTTGTATTTGTCTTTCCAAGAATTGCTTCGTCAGGCGAAATAGAGTTAAAGTCGCCAACTGGTTTGCGACTGCCTGAAAGACAATATCTCTCACGGAACCAGTTCTATGTCCTGCTGCTGTGGAGGTTGTTTGACGTGTATCTTGTCTAAAAGAGTTGAAGAACCCTACTTCGCATAGTGGCAGAAAATTAGCGCCAGGAACCATAGAGACTGCAACAGTTGAACACCTTATCGAAACTCTATGTTATTCAGTCTCAATAAAATCCCTCTTCAAAGTGATCCACAAAGTGAGGGAATGCGCTTTCGAATTGCATAAGTGAAACCCTAGCTATCGAAATAAAGAGGCTGGTTCTTTGCATGCAAAGGAGAATTCTTCAATCACTTTTATTATAGACACCATTTTAGACTTGTAGTCATTTTTATTCATAATGACGACTCCAGAACCTTTATCAGGTTTCGTAATAATTATATTAGAATTTTCCCGTAGCTCTTTCAAGGCTTTGAAATGCTGAGAATTTAAAATACTTTTCTCCTTTGAGTTGTCTTTTAAAAACTGGTGAGCTATATCCGCCATCTTGGCCTTAAACCAACCCCGATCTTCATCGGATGTTGCGGCTAGAGGTTTGAGTTGGTCATATAAGTTTTCAAACTCAGCATGGATGGCTAAATCCGTAAATTGCGTGTAAGGAACACAAAATTTGAGTCCAATGGATATAGCTTCTTTCTGATGAGTAGATAGAGTATGTTACAGTTCTTTCTGATATTACTCTATCTACTCATCAGAAAGAAGCTATATCCATTGGACTCAAATTTTGTGTTCCTTACACGCAATTTACGGATTTAGCCATCCATGCTGAGTTTGAAAACTTATATGACCAACTCAAACCTCTAGCCGCAACATCCGATGAAGATCGGGGTTGGTTTAAGGCCAAGATGGCGGATATAGCTCACCAGTTTTTAAAAGACAACTCAAAGGAGAAAAGTATTTTAAATTCTCAGCATTTCAAAGCCTTGAAAGAGCTACGGGAAAATTCTAATATAATTATTACGAAACCTGATAAAGGCTCTGGAGTTATCACTTTTATTATCCTGGTAATGACCTTGTTATTTTAAACTAATTTGTTTTAGCCTCTGACTTTTTCATGCTGTCGAATTCTCATTACTTCTCATTTTTTTGTATTTACACACTGATTAAAATCCATGGATTAATTAGTTTGTCTCATTACGTAACACCGTCACCCTCCAGCGACTGTGGTTCACCGGTAGAATGCTTGCCCACCACGAATATGATCCACAGTTATATCCGCAGACAACGCTTTCATCTACCTCACTAACCTGGCAGTAGGACTGGTAAAGAGGTAAGGTTGAGCATGATGAGGCTAGCAGCCCCACATCCTAAAAGTAAATACCACTGCTGCTACAGAAACTTCAAGCCTCTAGCTTGAATCCCTATGTCCCACTTAGAACGTGAAGGGAAAAAACTACGCATATTGACAAATCATCTCAGTAGTCGTCATGCATTCATGAAAACAAAATCACAGAATAGGGTGGGGGGAAAATACAGTTCTTAAAAGTAATATAGATAGGTGAAAGGAAAGATTGATTACCGAGTCTTTATTCATCGAATCTACACACAGACACGTGTTATAGGAATGACACTACGCGAAAACCAGAGATATGAATTGTATAGCTTCTTGTCAGATCAGAAGATAAGAGATAATAGAATTGTGTACAGGAAGCTTTTAAGAAGTTATTATTAGTGCTTTGATATGAATATGATGGATTTACATGTTCAAGTTGGCTCACGTTAGTGAATCTATGATTTTGGTATCATTTTGGTTAACTGTACCTGAGTGTGATATTACTGCTAAGGTTTTTATTATTGTTGTTGTCGCTTGTTGCCCTTCTTGTTATGAATTGTCTTCCTTTTGCTGGTGTTGTTCTGATTGTTTTATTCCTTGTGTTCCTGGTTTTAAGGGGAACAGTCCACAAGGTCGCTTCTCTGTAAACTATATTTTAATGTAACAACCCCCGTGAGGCTAGCAACCCCACTCTGTAAACAAAACTGCTAGAGAAACTTCAGCACGATAAATCTCCTTGCACCAAAAGAAAAAGTCTGTGTGGGGAAATGGAACGTCTGCACCATGTACGAGATTGGCAAAGATGGCCCAGACCACAAACGAAATGAAAAGATACGGAATTCAAGTACTAGGGATATGTGAAAGCAGATGGAACGGGAATAGACTCACCAAATTGTCAACGGGAAAGTCAGTGATCTACTCCAGTTACCCAGAAGATAACCATACGCACACCGAGGGCGTGGCTGTCATGATGTCACCAACGGCAACAAAGGTCCTGATGCAATGAGAGGCGATCTCGTCCAGGATAATGACCGCCAGATTCAACTGCAAAGGAAGAAAAGTGTCAGTTATACAATGCTATGCACCCACAAACAACGCAGACCTCGAAAAGAAAGAAGAATTCTACAGACAACTACAGGCAACAATGGACAATACTCCAGTCGGTGATATTAAAATACTAATGGTGTAACAACAGAAGACAAGGGCCAGGCAACAGATCGTTTTATTATGAAAATCAACACGTATTTATACATATTTCACATACATTATTATAGCTTATGCAAGTAGACAAGCGCAGTCATCTGATTGGTTGTTTATCAGAAGTTAGGCAGACAAACGCAGGCTTCTGATTGGTTGTTTCGGGATTCCTCGACAAATACAGTTCTCTATCTGCGAATCGTATTTTGCCACGTTAACTTTGCTGTGATTGGTTGTTGAATCAGCCTTGCTCATATTTTCTCACGGCCTGCTCTCACCACAATGGGAGACATGAACGCCAAACTGGGACCAGACAACACAGGAAGAAAACTCATCATGGGTAGAGAAACTCTCGGAGAAATGAATGAAAATGGAGAACTCTACACCGACTTCTCTGCCTTCAATGAACTAGTGATTGGTGGCAGCGTATACAAACACAAAGATACCCACAAGGCTACATGGCTGTCACCAGATGGGCAAACCAAAAACCAAATTGACTTCATCTCAATACTGCTCAAGGAAGTGGAGGCGCAGCCTACAGGACACAAAAGTAAGAAGAGGAGCAGACGTTGGCTCAGATCAATATCTCGTACAAGGGATAATCCAAATCAAATTAAAAGCTTTCAGGGAAACAGGAGCTGCAGATAGACCACAAGCCAAGTTCAACACTCAAAAACTGAAGGATCAGGTCACAAAGGAAATCTTCACTGCAAGCATAAGCGACAAAGCCGAGACACAAATCAACACTAGCGAAGAAGTCGGCGTTGAAAAGCACTGGAACAACTTGAAAACGGTGTGGAGTCAAACCTGCATGGAAGTTCTAGGCAGAAAGAAGAGACAGGACAAACAGTGGCTCACTACGGACACTTGGAAACTAATAGAAGAGAGAAGGACAGTGAAACTAAAGATTATCCAGTGCACTGACGAGCAACAAAACAGGAGCTGAATACAAGCTACAATACACTGAACAAAAGAGTGAAGAAGAGTGTCAGGGAAGACGAAAGAAAATATTATGAAACCATGGCAAACGAAGCAGAACAAGCTGCAGGCAAAGGAGACCTCGCCACACTCTACCAAATGACTAGGCACCTATCGAGCAAAAGTCCGACACAGATTAAGCCAGTAAAGGATGACAATGTAAAGTCAATCACCAGAGAGGTGGAACAAAGAAAACGCTGAGCTGAACACTTCAAAAGACTTCTAAATCTACCGCCACCTACAACGCGCCCAACAATAGCAACAACGGAAGCAGAACTACCAGTGAACATCAACCCCCCGACAAAATCGGAAGTCCTAAATGCAGTAAAGGTGCTTAAAGCTGGAAAAGCAGCAGGACCAGATGGAATCTCAGCAGAAGCTTTGAAAATAGACCCAGAGACAACAGCGGACTTGATGATGCCATTACTGGAGAAGGTGTGGAAAGAGAGCAAAGTACCTGAGGATTGGAAGAAAGGATACTTATTCAAACTACCAAATAGAGGAGACTTAAGTCAATGCAAAAACTGGCGCGGAATTATGCTCCTGTCCATCCCAAGCAAAATACTAAGCCGCATCATCCTCAAGATAATCAAACGCGCCGACTTGGATGAAAAACTTCTACCGGAACAAGCTGGATTCAGGAGAAACAAGTCATGCATTGATCAAATCGCCACTCTACGGAGCAATATTGAACAAAGCTTGGAATGGCAGTCACCCCTCCACCTTACTCAACTTCATCAATTTTGAAAAGGCCTTCAACAGCGTCAATCGAGAGGTGATTTGGCGACTACTTCGCTACTACGGGTGCCATCGACAATTATACATCTCATCCAACAGTTATACGACAATGCTGCATGCCTCCAGGTAATCCACAACGGGAAACTTACGGAAGCCTTCGAAGTAAGGACGGAAGTAAGACAAGGTGGCTGCCTACAGTCGCCAATGATCTTCCTGATTGAAGTAGATTGGATAATGCGACAGACAACGGCAACCAACGAGGGAACAGGCATAAAAATGGACTCACACAAAATACTTGGAGCATCTGGACTTCACCGATGATATATGTATGATTTCTCCTAAACTGGAAGATATGCAAGTGAAAAGCAACAAGTTGGCAGAAGAAGCATCAAAGATAGGATTTCAGCTGAACATAGAGAAAACAGACATGATGAAGATTCCTGGCCAACAGCGACAGCGATAACAACAGACAACAATAAGAATAAGTGGAAGAAATCTGAAAAAAGCAACCTCCTTTACTTACCAAACTACCTAGGAAGCATCGTTTCAACTACAGGTGGACGGAACTGATGAGAATATCAAAGACAGAATCGGAAAAGCAAGACAAGCTTTCATTTCTCTCAAGTCTGTGTGGAGGTCAACTCAGCATCAAAAATAAGATCCGGATTTTCAACTCCAATGTGAAGTCATTCAGTGCTACTATACGTATGAATTAGAGACTTGCACTGCGCGTCACAAAGAGCATCTCAAACAAACTTCGGACCTTCATTAACAGTTGTCTTCTCTCAATACTCAAGATCAGATGGTCGGCCAGAAAAGATCAGGAACAGGGATCTCTGGCAATGAGCGAACCAACCAACCAGGAACCGATTGTGCAACAAATAGACAGGAAGAAATGGAGATGGACTGGCCATACGCTTAGGAAACCATCAAGTGACATCGCTAGACAGGCCATTTCTCGAGTGGAACCCGAAAGGGAAGCGGTGAGTTGGTCGTCAGTGCGAGGGTGACTTGGAGGATGTCATGTGAAGAAGAGATGAAGGCGTGTGGGCAGACTTAGAGCGGGGTGGAAACGTTGGCAGAAAACAGGACGCAATGGAGACGTGCGGCTGAAGCTGTATGTTTCTCTAGGAATTAAATGAAATAATAATTATAATGGAATAACGATCAATAGACAGACATATAGGAAAGCATATCAGACTGTCAAAACAAAGGTAAACATCATGTGAATACATATCAAATGGTCCATAAGCTCGCCTTGTATCTGGAATCGCCTGGGTTAGAACCCCAGTGGGTTGATACTTCCAATGAGTCGCAAACTAGGACAAACAGCCGTCCAGTAAGTACTCGATTGCTTCCAATACTTCTCTAACTAATATCAGTCTATGGTCAAACTTGAAAATAACATCATTTTTGTGTTTGTGCATATGTGTGTGTGACTATCTAGGGCAAGAAGGTGGTCAGGTGTTCAACTGTTCATCACGTGCTCTATGGCTATTGTACTGGTTGATGATTCTGGTCATACACGCAATCTGGCAGGCTGATTTAACAGCCTTTCTAACTAAAAATAAACTGGAACTACCAATCAAATCGTTGAAAGACTTGGCTTACAACGACAGAATGACAGTACTCGCCATGAAAGGTACTAGCACGTATAATATGTTTCAGGTAAGCAGGACTGTCAAGAGAGATGTCCTATTTCTGTTGCAGTTATCAAGAATCCTTCTTACTGTTTTGAACAAAAATCATCCAATTGGTGGATGGTGGCTAGCAGTGGAATCCGGGATGCGCATTTCGTCCTATTTGGGACTCGTCAGCTGGATGTACCTGCATTTCTCAGTGAGTGATGATGTTCCCACCGAGGCTCGAACCCAGTGCCCATAGTTTCAAACGCCAAAGCGTTATCCACTAGACCACTTGGGCCACGAGAGCCACCTCTTGTGCAACGGGTCATATATTAATTATTGAATTGAATTTTTGATTTTCCCGTCGATTGATTGGACCGAAGTGTTCGGTCTCCTGGATTCCACTGCTAGCCACCATCCACCAATTGTATACAAATCAAATCCCCAGACATCGTCGAAGCATCTGCACAAGAAGCCGACATGTCAACCTGAGACCGAACACTTCGGTCCAATCAATCGACGGGAAAATCAAAAATTCAATTCAATAAAAATCATCCAATGTTTATTCTTCCATACTTGTGCCAAAAATACAGTGTGGAATCAAGCTGTAATCAAAAATAAAAATCAAAAAATAAATAAATAAACAGGACTGCATAAAAATTCAAATGATTGCTAATTATGCAATTTGTGTTCAATCAGTTAAAATTTAGTTCTGGTGCAGTTAGGAAAAAAGATGATCATTTCCGTAGATGTTCGTTACCTATGGAGTGAGTTTCAACGTAGGAGTTTGTGCAGAAAGTCAGTAGTCCAAGTCACACCACACTTCACATACTGTACACAAAGTTTGAGGAAAGATAAAAATAAACTCAACGGAACTCTTATGAGCAGGAATTTTACTGAGGGGGAAAGAATAGTTATTATATATGTCCAAACCAAGTCCACTTTTAACAGTTTGAAGAAATTTGGGCATTGGGTATATGATATTCATCATAATAAAGGTTTTTTTTTGTATTTCCCAATGAATGAAAAACAAAACGATATTACTGTTTTTACTGACGTTTAGCTATTTAATGCTGCTGCTAATAGCTTTCTCAAAGTAGCTTGATTAAACCGGAATTTACAAAATCTCAGCACATATATAACAAAGAGTTAACGGGTGAGAAAAATAGAATTAGTTCAACTTAAAAGGATATATTGAAAGTCAAAATAACAATGAAGATCACTAAAACCAAATATCAAAGGTAATAGTATATCTGTTATTATATCAAAACAAAGTTTACTAACTTGATCATCGTTCGTTAGTCTGGGGTCATTTTTGGTTGTCAAGTTGGTGAATTGGTAAAGATAACAAAGCTAAGAGTAAATTGTGAAATACTTGATCATCGTTCATCAGTCTGGGGTCGATTTTGTTGTCAGGTTGGTGAATTGGTAAAGATAACTAAATCAATTATGTATGTCCTAACCAGGTTCACTTTTAACGGTTTGAAAAAATCAAGTGTAGATTGTTGGATTTCATCAGTGTGTAAAATTATAAAAGTAGTGTGTGTTTACATAGTGAACTTGCTCACCACATTTGCGTTGATTTTGCTACTTCATGGGGGAGGGTGTTGTAGCCAGGTTAGATTCTGTTTCAGTCCATCATTCCTATTCAGGCAATTCGGATTCCACTTGATATGAAGTGCTTCTGATATTAGACGTTCTTTGTGGTTTCTGAAGTTTTACTGGATTATTTCAATATTGTCAAAGTCAATTTTGTGGCCTGATTCTATAGCATGTAGACCTACGGTTGATAATTTTTCAAGTTTTTCTAGTTCAATTGGATTTCCTGGTGGTCGAAGAGATGCTCTGCGGTGTTCATTTCTTCTGATTTTGATTTTTCGAAGTGTTTGTCCAATGTAGATCGCATCACATTCCAAGCATTTTATAGACACAATTAGATAGAGAATCTTTCGGGATTTGATCTTTTATATGGACAAGGTTGCTTTGAAGTATGTTATTTTCATCTGAAAAATTACAGAAGGCGAGTATTCATCTCTTTATCACTAAAGATGGTTTCTGGCCGTATCACTAACAGTCACCAACTGTTGGTTCTTTGAGTCTTTTGGATTATTTCTTGTCTTCGTCGTCAGCGACTTCTACATCACATCACAAAATCTTGTCATACAAATGAAATCAATTTATATTCAACCAGACTGATATTTCAGAATCTGCTGTCGTGTATGCTTCTGGTTGTACACGTGAGTTTATTGTTGCATAGTTCCAAGGTGTTTCATTTTCCCTGTTATGAAAGAAAATTTCTTTTTGATTTATAAACGCATGTCGCTGTCACGCTTATATGAATATTGTCAATCATATATATGTGTGTGCAAAAAAGGCCTAAAGAATTCCCATCAGACGGGTAGTATTTCAGTTCATATGGCTTATTTGACAAAAGTCTTTCTTAAAGTGATCAGTTCCCTTTATGAATTATTATGAGAAAACAGTGAGAAGACTTAATTTATCTGATATGTGTGATGTATTTTCCCAACAGACATTTCGGACATTCCGACCACCCTTTCACTCACTCACTCACCCACCATAAATTTACATAGAAGACAGCAGAGCATGAAGGATTACACTTTTCATTCCCAAGTGCTGATTGCAGTGATCTGACATCAGTTATGCGACCACTGATGGAGAGTACTGGGGAGAAACGAGATTTATGTTTACCTGTAACCCCCCCCCTCACAACACCCAAACGATAGTTTAACATCCCACCGCCGTAATTACCAAATAATATGTATGTGTGGTCAGCTGTACATAAGTGGGGCCCATCGACCTCTGAAAGTCAGGACTACAGAACACATTTCAAAGTGGCTTCAAGAACAAATAAAATTAACGGATACAATTAATCCTGGGAACCAACGTTCAACATCGTCTATCGCGAAATACACGTTATAGAGAGAGGTTGCAAAGTTGATTTCATACGTGCCCTTAGACTCGTGTATAAAACTTCAATTCTTTGAAGCCTTGGCCGTAAAAAACGCTTAAATCTGTCCTTATTTTCAACCTGACCTGGTAACCCAGTTACGTAATCATAGTTTATGTCACCGAATAAATTTTCATTTTGTTTTTCTTGCGTCAACTTCCACCCCTTATCTGTGATCATCACCTGTAAAAAATTTGATGTCTATTTAAAAAGTCTGTATTCCTTTATGCTCTGTCACCTATTATTATTATTGCTCCCTTGAGTTCCTAATGGAACGTAGGGCTTCAACTCCACGTATCCACTTGCCACTTCTGTCTTCCTTCTGCTCTACTTTTCACCTCCATCCATCCACGTTACTCCATACTCTTTCAACTCCTCTCTCTTCACACCATCTCCTCCATGTCACCCACCCTTGCACTGACGTCCCACTCGCCGCTTCGTTTCCGGCCTGGTTCCACTCGAGAAATGGGCTGACGACCGTGCGATGTCACCCAGCGGCCCGCCTCCTCAGCGAGCGAGTGTCCAATCCATGTCAATCCACATTCTCCTGCATATTTGTTGGTTGGCGATTGGTTCTTGTTTTGTTTGTTTGTTTGTTACCGTAGTTTCCCATAGTTGGTGTTTCTTTTCGGCCCGGCCATCTGATCTGATCTTCAGTATAGAGCCAGCGAAGACAGTTAGTTGTTGATAAAGGTCTGGTCTGCAACAGGCTGTTGGTGGAAATATTCTTTGTGACCCGCCCACCCGCCAAGTTTCTGATCGGATCCGTATAGAACAACTGACTGACTTGACGTTGTTTGTATTGAAAATCCGACCGAATTTTGTTGTTGATACTGGCTGAGTGACGAAGATTTCCAGATTGTTTGTTTCAGGTTGATGAATAATGTGTTTCTCTCCTGCCTTCCAGATTCTCGCTCGATTTGACATCCCCGTCCGTTCCGACTGGCTGTAGTTGGGACAATGCTCCCTGGCTAGATAAGTGAATGAAGTAACTAACCTCTTTCAAATCCCTCGCGTTGATGGTGATTGGCGCTGGATGTTACTGCTACTATTGTTGTTGTTGTTTGGTTGGTTATTTTCATAACCTCCGTCTTGTCTATGTTCACCTGGAGTCCTGTGAGTGACATACTGATGTATTCATAACCAAACAAATGAAGACTTCGTGTGCCTTCGGAAGTGTGTGGACGGTTGCTACTACTTCTTGGCTGCCCACGCCACCGTGGAAGTTGATTTATTCTTGGAGTATCTGAAACAGAAACGGAATTAATTTTGCGTGGCCTTATAGCAGGCCAGCGTAAACAAACAGGGTGGATGAATGAGCTTCTTTGCCACACATTTCATTCATAGACAATTCCACAAAAACTCACTTCGTACTGATATCAACCAGCCATGAAGATGTTTTGCAGAAGGACACTTGTAGCCTCTCAATCCACCTATTCTGCAGCTGAGACGACGTATATTTTGTCTCTAGGATGCATCATTTTCACTCATTTGTTTTCACTTTTTTGTTTGTCTCTGTGACGGCAAACTCTATCCAACATAAAACTGTCTGCTTCAATCACTACAGATATCAGTGAACAATACAGTCTATGAGTCAGTATATAAAAAGTTATCTGCAAATCCCATCAGTATAAATAGTACAAGCGAAGCAGTTCAACTTGTCAAACAGTATGATAATTATGCTTACATAACTGAGAGATTTCTACTCTCGGGTGTAATCGAAGAAGAAGAAACTGAAGAGATTTATAGCCTTGCAGTTATAGAAGAGCCCAACGTTGTTGCATCACTTGGATTTGCCGCTCAATTCGGTAAAGAATTTACACAGCCAATGTCTTCATAGTAAGTTTCAAAGAGGAGAAATTCATGTTTTTTTTCTGTTTTTTCTTTATTCTATGAATGAATATCATTCATTTCGTGGAAAATACCCATTGGAACATTAGATTGAAAAGAAGAAGAAGTTCAACAAAGATGTTAATCTTTCCGGTGATTTTATTCTCAAAAGCAGTTGTACAATCGCATTTATATAGATTAGTTTACATGGATACAATTATTATTTGTTTAATTCCACACAGTAACGAAGGTGATAATAATTTTCAACTTGTTATGCAAGTTTGAAGGTACGAATGTAGATTACAAGAGGCTTAGAGACAAGATTGCATAGGATTAGAAAACAGTTACAACGTAAGCAAAATTAATATGTGATAATTGGAGAAATAATTTTAAAGGTGAATAAGGGGTGATAACTATTTTCAACTTGATATGAATTACAAGAGGCTTAGAGATACACGGATAGAACGAATTACAGGTGTGAACAAAATGAGCATGGAAACGAATTGAAATCAGAATTTTCAACATGAAATGTTAGTTAGGAGGTGTGAATGTAGATTACTAGAGGCATAGAAAGAAAAAATTACACGGGATTAGAATATAATTGTAAAATAGTTATTTTAAACGAAATACAAATTATGAAAAAGAACACAATGAATAATCATGAAAGCGCTTCGCTAGTCCGCTTATAACAACAGAAGACAAGGGCCAGGCAACAGATCCTTTATTAAGGAAATCAACACGTATTTCTAGATTTTCATGTACATTATTATAGCTTATTCAAGCAAACAAACAGTCTTCTGGTTGGTTGTTTCTCATAGAAAGTTGACCTTGAGTCTCTTTGTGGCTGTTTCTTGAATGTCAGATCATCTATGTGCTGACTGTATCCGCCTACGTAAAGTCTGCTGTGATTGGTTGTTGAGTCAGTCTTTGTTCTTGTTCTTTTCTTATGACCAATATTGGGGACATAAACATTGACGTAAAATACTGTCTAGCAATTTTGGCTAGTAGGCAGCTCTCACCACACACTCACGGATCTTTATGAACCAAATGAGACAAAATTGAGTTTCTTATTTTTTCGGCCTTTTCTCAACCATATAAGGAAAGTTGTTTAGTAAGGCATCTGTTAAGCTGCCTAGTTAGTTGTTCGTTGTATACAGCTTTCTCAATAAAGGAGCACATGAATCCGTGAATTTTCAAGTGTTGGTTTGCAGCGGTTTAACTGACTTCAATATTGATTGTGAATTGACTTCATTTACACAACCACTGTAAACCAGACAGCAGTACTGGACAACAACAGCAAATCAACAACTGGAAGTTGATGCGGTACTCACCAGCGACTGACTACAGAGTAAAGTTGCCTGAAGTTCTGGTGTGAAGTGAGATGACTACCGCCGGCGTCCAACAAGTTGGATGTGAAGACAAACACTTACCGATGACACTGGCTGGTTGTCACGCTGTGTCACGAATTGATAGGTCGTTGGATTTAATCCTAGTGACTGAGTATTCAACGAGCTGACATCGTAATCCGAATACCCTGGGTTCGATCCTCAGTGGAGTAATGGGTGCATACTGTTTAAGAGAACCAAGTAAAGATTAAATAGTTGTACCACAGTACTCCCTAGTTTTCAACGGTTCTCTAGATGAAGCACATTTTGTTGTCAACATTCAAATTTGTATAAATGTACATTGAAGTGTCACAGCTGGATATCTTGTCTTCCACTTGAGTAATGATAATGGCTTGGCTAGAAAGCGGTGTACAAAGGATGTTGACAGTACTAGTCCTTCTTGTGACTCTGCACCGTCTTCTTTCAGCATAGGATTTTACCGAGAACAGATCATCATCGCTGAATTGAGGCTTTATTCATAAGTGTTGCAGTTTGCATTGCACACTTTGGTCATTGAATTTCCTCATGAGTATATGCTAAGATGATAGGAACCTACATAGGCTGACATATTGCGGATGCGACCTAATCTGTCTTATGTACAATCTTAGGTTCAGATACTTTTCCGCCTATTTGCAAGGTAGCTGACCAAAAACTGATTTTATTGAGAATAGGTGAAAAACTAGAGAAATGTGTATGTGTTGTGCATCGTGAAGCCGTGGTAGGATAGTGACATTCACGTCTGGTTAGTGATTCGTTCCAGTTTTCTTTCAGAATGCTTAGTGTACAAATTAAAGCTGTAAGTTAAGGGAATGTTTCATGTGGAGGCATGTATATTGAACTGAGTTTCCCTGGACTAACCAACCATCTGACTAACAGCCAAGAAAAGATATTCCATTTCTAGTGAATACTTTTTTGCATATTGCTGTTTCCTGGTGTTTAAATGACATTCTTCATTCAAGTTATTGAGTGCATATTATTCATGATACCAATGAATACGTTTCTTTTGACCAAAAACAATACAAAAAGAAAAGAACAAGAAGGTGAGCAGAGATAACGATCTTTGCCGCCATTTCATTCTCAAAAGCACCTGTACATTTGCATGCATATACATAAGCTTACATAGATACCAAATTGAAAATTGTTCTGACCTTTAATCTCCCCCTTCGTTATTATGTGGAATTAAATAATAGTTATAATTGTATCTATGATTGCGATTGTACAAGTGATTTTGATAATCAAATGGCGGCAAAGATAACTGTCTATACTGAACTTCGTCGTCTTTTCTTCCCAACGTCCTAATTGGGTATTTTGAAAAGGTGAACATAGCTCAGACATGTCTGCGTTTGAATAAGCTTTGAGAGAATGAGTATGTGCTTTGAAAATCTTCTTGAATATTTGACAACTAAAACGTCAAAAAATAAATAGACTAATTAAGAGTATAATAGTCAGCGAAGAGACTCTTTTCAACGAATTTATTATCAAGCTGTACAATCGTATATATATGGGTTTTTTAGGAGATTATATCCGGTGAGGGAATTAGGTCAAAGGTGTGAATACATGAAATAATAATAATAGTATGAAATGCAATTAAAATATTTGTGATTATAATCATAGTTAAATGTCAAGTGGCAAAATAATTAATGTCATATATAGAATAATACATAAGGTGTATAGATTTTGAAATGGGGTGCATAATTATAGGATTAGTAGGCGAATATAAAGTGTTACACAACATGGTGTGAAATTTGACAAGATAAAATTCAATATTGTAAAAATAAAAAGTATACAAATGAGTAATTTTGGGTTTAAAGTGTCAAGTGGGTCAAGTGGAAAAGATTCGGAGTGAGAATAGTAATAATAATAGTCGAAGTATTAAGGGAAAAGTACATAGAATAACTAAATAAACAAAATTACAATGAATAAATGTCTATCCCTCTACGGCCAAGTCAGAAGTAGGGATTGTACATACTTCTTTTGTACACAAAGGTCTGGCTTAAAGTCATGAATTGTCAAGGCCCCAGCTGACTTTAGAAGTCTGTAGCGAAGAAAACGTGGGAAGTTAGCATGAATTCTATGTATGAGCAACCCTGACCATGATTCCAAGATCATACATAGAATTCATGCTAACTTCCCACGTTTTCTTCGCTACAGACTTCTAAAGTCAGCTGGGGCCTTGACAATTCATGACTTTAAGCCAGACCTTTGTGTACAAAAGAAGTATGTACAATCCCTACTTCTGACTTGGCCGTAGAGGGATAGACATTTATTCATTGTAATTTTGTTTATTTAGTTATTCTATGTACTTTTCCCTTAATACTTCGACTATTATTATTACTATTCTCACTCCGAATCTTTTCCACTTGACCCACTTGACACTTTAAACCCAAAATTACTCATTTGTATACTTTTTATTTTTACAATATTGAATTTTATCTTGTCAAATTTCACACCATGTTGTGTAACACTTTATATTCGCCTACTAATCCTATAATTATGCACCCCATTTCAAAATCTATACACCTTATGTATTATTCTATATATGACATTAATTATTTTGCCACTTGACATTTAACTATGATTATAATCACAAATATTTTAATTGCATTTCATACTATTATTATTATTTCATGTATTCACACCTTTGACCTAATTCCCTCACCGGATATAATCTCCTAAAAAACCCATATATATACGATTGTACAGCTTGATGATAAATTCGTTGAAAAGAGTCTCTTCGCTGACTATTGTACTCTTAATGCTACAACTGAAATTATTAAATTAATTAAGAGTAACTAGTCTAACCGAAGGAATGACAACACATCGAGCAGGATCAAATGAATCCATTGGATCAGTTTGCGTATAAATCCAGAGCCTATTTGACATTCGGTGATCATGTTATCCTTGAGATGCGAGGTGTATATTTCAGAAAGGACACGTCATTTCTAGTATCATGTTGACGATGACTACTTTAATAGAATCAATAGCAGATCTTTGTGGCCATCACTGGTTGGCGACCTATTGCCATTACTTCACCTTTTTCAGAAATAATAGGAAGATTTCTTTTTTTGTACGCAGCCTTGAGCCTTCATTGACGGCTTTTAATGACCGTAATCAAGTTGCTTATAAACATATTAGGCGTACTTTAGATACCACTGTCGTCTTATATCATAATGTTGTCTCTAGTTTAGATGGAGAGAGATGCCAATTATGTTCGGTGTGCCTTCCTGGATTACACATCTGTCTTCAGCTCTGTAGCTAGGCCTTTATTGTTAAACAAGCTTACTGTGTCGGAAGCATAGTACCTGCATTCCCATTTCTCTGATAAAAAGCAGTACACCGTCTACAATGACAAGTCCTCCACTGCCTCTCTTACTTACTGTAGCTGGTGTTCCTAACTCAAGCTGTTGTTCTTTCTCATTTTCTGTTTTCCTTCTTTCTACATGACTTACTTACCGCATTCCGACGAAGACAATTTTGTTAAGTACACCGATGATTCATCTGACTGTTACTTCTCAGTGAGACTGTTCCTAAATGAATAACTTCTGATCAGAAATTAGTCAGTGGTCTTATGTTTAACCCATCCAAATGTCAGGTTGTTAACTTCACTTTCAGATGCAAGTGTGACTTAAGTGAACTGGTTAGTTCGCAAGGTTCCACTATCATAGATGGTAGTGAAGTTGACACCAAATCAAAGTTAACTACCTTGGACTGTGTATTTCCTTTGATCAGCTTTCCTGATCTTCCCACGATCTAGTATCATTCTGTTTTGCTTATACTTCTTTTACTGCTCCTCAGGCTTAGTCTTTCCTCGAACTACTTGAGAAAAACTTTGTAATACTGCGTAGGGCACAAAAAGCTGTCAGTGGGGCAGGTGTGGGTGTTGCTAAACTAACTAGGAAGTATTATCTTGTCAGACTCTGAATATCCTCTTCATACACAACTCTCTCCCTGCCACATCTCGTCGGGTGCGTCTGTGGCACAGCGGTTAGGACGACCTCCAACCATGCACATGGTCTGGGGATCAGTCTGAGGTCGATGCACACCTGATATCAATCGTTAGCCTGCTAAATTCGCGCTACCGATACCACATGCTGAAAATTTCATACTTGTACCAAAATACTGTGTGAAATAGAGCTATAATAAAAAATAAAAAAAAAACTAGAAGCTACTATAGAAGATTGTAGGCTCAAACGTCTTAGTACCTTATTTAACAGACATTTTATGTGATGAGGAAAGTGTGAGAAAGGAAATTAAAAACCTATTGAGGAACTCTAAGTAAACGGCATCGCCGTCCATGCCTATGGTCAAGGGTTCGATCCTCGGCCACTAACGCACTCCTTAACCTCGCTAAGCCAGAAATAATGCTGCTAAAGAGGAAAGGCTTGGCAAGAGACTAGCAACCCTATCCTGTAAAAATGAACACTGCTACAGAAACTTCAAGCCACTAGCTTGAATCTCCATGTCCCACTGGGGAACGTGAATGAAAAAAAATAAAATAAAAGTAAACGGGATTGTTTTATTTTTGTTCTCATTGTCGCTACACTGTCGCTAATATTTTCACTTGATTTAATTTCATAGTCGCTTCTTATTGAACAATATGATTATGAATCCGTTATTTGAATTATTACCCCCTGTGATGAGAAAATTAGATGCAATACTGCAGTACTACTTACTACACAGCTGAAAATTCCACATTTGTACGAAAAGTACTGCTTGGAATGAAGTTATTATTCCATTATGGGTAAGATCCGACAGCGTTGACCACGAAGTAATTTGGAAACCACTCGAGTACTATGGCATACCTCTAACATTCATCAACCTTATTCAACAACTGTACAACAACGGAACATGTCAAGTGATCCACAACGGAAAACTCAGTGAGGCGTTTCGAGTAAACACAGGAGTCAGACAAGGGTGCTTATTATCACCAATCAATGATATTCCTAATTGTTGTGGACTGAGTGGATTATGCGTCAGACAGTGAGTGAGAAACAAAAAGACAGAGATATCCTGGACCGACGTGAAGAACCTAGAAGACCTGGATTTCGCCTGTGGATGATTTATGCTTGATGTCACACAAATTCGAAGAATTACAAGCGAAAACCGACAAACTGGTTGAAGAAGCACCGGGCGAAGACAGGACTCCAGGTGAACATAGACAAGACGGAGGTTATGAAAATAACCAACCAACAACAACAACAGTAGCAGTAACATCCAGCGCCAATCACCATCAACGCGAGGGATTTGAAAGAGGTTAGTTACTTCATTCACTTATCTAGCCAGGGAGCATTGTCTCAACTACAGTCAGTCGGAACGGACGAGGATGTCAAATCGAGCGAGAATCAGGAAGGCAGGCGAGAAACACATTATTCATCAACCTGAAACAAACAATATGGAAATCTTCGTCACTCAGCCAGTATCAACAACAAAATTCGGTCGGATTTTCAATACAAACAACGTCAAGTCAGTCAGTTGTTCTATACGGATCCGATCAGAAACTTGGCGGGTGGGCGGGTCACAAAGAATATTTCCACCAACAGTCTGTTGCAGACCAGACCTTTATCAACAACTAACTGTCTTCGCTGGCTCTATACTGAAGATCAGATCAGATGGCCGGGCCGGAAACAATCACCAACATTAAACCATGGGAAGAAACAGAACAAAACAAGAACCAATCGCCAACCAACAAATATGCAGGAGAAAGTGGATTGACATGGATTGGACACTCGCTCGCTGAGGAGGCCGCTGGGTGACATAGCGCGCGCGTCATCCCATTTCTCGAGTGGAACCAGGCCGGAAGGGAAAGCGGCGAGTGGGACGTCAGTGCAAGGGTGGGTGACATGGAGGAGATGGTGTGAAGAGAGAGGAGTTGAAAGAGTATGGAGTAACGTGGATGGATGGAGGTGAAAAGTAGAGCAGAAGGAAGACAGAAGTGGCAAGTGGATACGTGGAGTTGAAGCCCTATGTTCCTCTAGGAACCCAAGGGAATATTAATAATAATGGATAAGATTTTATTTTGATAAATCATACAGTGTTATACAGTACAGTAATATTAACTGATGACGACGTTTCGAGCACAAACAATTGCCACTCATAATCATATCAAATCAATACTCACACAAATTTTTTCCTTTTTATACATTTATATACATGCGTGGGATCGATTATATATTGGAATAAAAATTATTATAGGATAATTTACATTCAGAAATAATATAGGAGTGTTATTGACCAATTACAATCAGATGGGAAAAAAGACGAGTGTTTTTATAGTCAAAATAAGTAACTTGTTAGAATGTTCTGATGGCTTAAGTTGAAATAGAATACAATTTAAGATCATTTGTTATCCTCTTCTGATTTGACTGACTGGCGGTAATAATATCTTCCGTATCTCTGGTATTTGCATTGAGTCATTTCTGTTGCATGTGTCGGGTTTAGGCTTGATGAACCAGGCAGGATTCAGTAATTAAACTCTCTCTCCATATACCTAGATTACTTCTCAGAATTTTAACCCTCTCCCATCATGATATTGTGTGATTGTGTGTTAATGCGTGAAGTGCGATTCCCATCGGACTGTAATTGATCAATAACACTCATATTATTATTTCTGAATGTATATTATCCTATATTGGTTTTTATTCCAATATCTAATCGATTCCACATATGTATATAAATGAAGGAAAAAAGTTGTGTGAGTATTGACTTCATATGACTATGAGTGGCAATAGTCCCTGCTCGAAACGCGGTCATCAGTTAATATTACTGTATAACACCACTGTGTGATTAATCAAAATAATATCTTATCCATAATGGAGCTATACTCTATCACCACAGTGTCCAAGTTTATACTTATATCAAAGCTATTATTATTATGAAATTATATTCTAATCCAAAGACATAACCGGAATATTAAAACAATAAGAGACTGAGAAAAGTAGATATCAGGCTGGATTTAGGTTAGGTAGCCCAGTCGTTTGAAAAGGCTTCAAGAAAATTATTTCTATCGTGTGGATTTGGTTTCACTTCTACTGTAATTATCTATCAACAATTGTCATTAATGGTGTTAACTATATATATTCACTAGTATGAAGTATAATGAAGGCTAGGGTGGCATACATCAACTTCAGCCACCTATGGCGCCATCGCGACGTTAGCCTGGCTGTCAAAGGTCGGGTATACAATGCTTCGGTGCGGGATGTCTTGCTCTACACCTGTGAAACCTGACCTCTCCGAGCTGGGGATGTGCGGCGAATCTGTGTGTTCGATCATCGCTGTCTCCGCAGAATTGCTTGCGTTCTATGGCATCATCGCGTCAGTAATTCTGAGGTTCGCCGGCGTGTGTTTGAACACAGAGGAGATCACCATTCATTGAGTGTCGTCATCGGAAACGGCGGCTCCGGTGGCTTGGACATGTGCTGAGAATTTCATCCCTGAGGCTTCCGTACAGGTCTCTGTTCACTAGCCAGCCCTGGGACGGAATGGAAAAGGTGGAGGGTGGGCAGTCCATGATTTGCCGTCGTGGGATGAAAGATGTTTGTGCTAGATTAGCATCGGTTGGTGTGTCACGACTCCCTGCTTGGGGTCCGAGAGATCGATGGCTTGAAACGTTATCGGATATGACCAAGAATCGTAATCAATGGCGAACGTGTTGCAATTTCCTTCTTTCTTCCCTTCCAGATGATAGTTAACGAATACTGTTTGAACTTGGTAAGCATGACTGTTTTCCTTCCAGATGAAGTTCTTTATCCGTTCTCTAATTATATTTTTACTTTTAATCTATGTTGTTTTATTATTATTGTGTGGCGCATCCTTCTTGGTGCCATATTGTACCAAGTTTTTTCTGTGTTAAATAAAATAATATAAAAAACGTTTGCAGTATATTTTGAAAAAAGTATAATAACTACTCTTATCGGTTTATTTTTCAGTATATTAACATTAAGAGAACGTGGTATAATTGACAAATTTATGGTTAAATGGAATATGACCAACGATGCTACTTCAATAAATGCACAATATCAAGCATTAACTCTGTGGAATGTGGCTGGTGCATTTATTGTCACTGGAATATTCTCTGCAGCAAGTCTATTCTGCCTAATTATTGAATGTTGTTTACACTATCAGTGGAGAGTTAGGTAAGAAGAAGAAAAAGTGTGATGACAAAGATAACAGTACTGACAATAACAATAATACTACTAATAATAATAACAACAACATGAAGGATAAATTATATGGAGTCAATAATTCCACTGACATACAAATAAATCTATTTGAAGATTTCTCATGTTTTCTTGTACAACTTCCTCTTTTCTCTTGGTTACAGAAAGCTGTTCAAACCTCCTTCTAAACACATTCAGTGCTTCAATCAATTGCCGAATAGATTTTTTACCCTTTCAACTCTATATGATATGTAGTCATCGAATGAGTAGGGAGGGAATGTAGGAGGAATTATTGCTGAATAATGAAAAAAATGGCTAATAACCTTGTAACAACAAAAAACAAGAGCCAGGAAACAGATCGTTTATTAAGGAAATCAACACATATTTATAGATTTTCATGTACATATTATAGATTATTGTTAACAGAAAAACACAGTCTTCTGATTGCTGGTTGTTTCTCACAGGAAGTTAACCTTACATCTCTTTGTGGCTGTTTCGTGAATGTCAGATCATCTATATGTTAACTGTATCTGCCTACGCAAAGCCTTCGTTCACATTTTTCTCACGACCAATATTGGGGACATAAACATTGACGTAAATTACCGTCCACCGATTTTGACTAACAGCCAGCTCTCACCACAACCTGAGTAAAATCTGATTTAATTACTGGAAAACACCATGTTTAACAAACAACCCTGAATGAAGCAAAAAGCGAAGTTTCCTCTTCAGTGGATACAAGCAAAAATGTCAGTCACAACTATTATAAAAGAATCCCTCTCTGCAAAATTTGAACAGAGACAGGACAAGCAGTGGTGCAGAATAATATGGATCCATTTTGTTTCATCGGTTCTCGTCAGCCGCACACAACCTACAACATTCAATAGAACAACTTTATTATACAGTTTCAACATACATTCTGTTGATCACCCCATGAACTAGTCCTCGAGTAGGGACACTGTCGTGAGGAAGTCATAGTGAAACTAAACATAAGAAGGATGATACGGTCATCTCATATTATCATTACATAATTAATATTCATCTTTAATAAAAGCGAAGTTTCTCGTATAAAAGTGAGCAGTTTTCGTTGTTAGGGTGGTAATTGCGTAATCAGAGATGATGAAATACAGTGAATAGAACTTAAAATTTAGTGTGTGCGAAGCCGTATGAAAAGGCTATGGGATGATCCAGTGAGCTGAGTACAGAGGATCAAAAATCAGGTCTATTATGAAAGGGCAAAGTTAAAGTTTCAGCACCACTAACAACCAATCAGCAAACAACCTTGAACGAACCAATAACACGAAAGAGGTATTTTTGACGATAAGGGGAAACGTATATCTATGGAAAAAAAGCATAAAACTGTTACAGAGGGTACTTTTCTCCAACATGTGACAAAAACATCTCCCAGCTAAGCATAGGACTGTCATTTTAAAAGTCACACCACATTATGTACATTTATTCATCCAAATGACTATAAATGAGATCCTTTTGAGATCCATTTATAGCCCTAATCCTATTTTGCAACCTCCCCAAAAATCCTTCAATAGAATTTGTGTGTCCTCGTAATAGGATCGATAAAATCACTGGAATGGTTCACTTTATGATGAATATATCCAAGAGATGACGGAGAGTTGTAACCTTTCCATTCATCCGTATGTATTACTGATCCCCGTTCCATAAGGCTGCTAACAACAGGTATTAGAGTAGTTGACTTTCTATCTGCTATTCTTTCCACGAATCCTTTACGGAGGGAGGTGTCGTATAAACCAATTACGCTAATATTGTTGGCTCGCTGACGACCACGGTTGTATTCCTTCTTTGCCAACACAGTTTCGTCCACGTGCACAACGATGTCTTCTTCACCCAACAAAGAAGTAATTTTCTCCATTTTCCACAATGCAATGTCTCTGCAATGTTGATACCACTGAACTGCTGACACGAGGCTATTCTCGGTTTCAGCAGCTGCGGCTCTCAGCAGATGTTTTAAGATGCAGTAGCTGCAAATATACAAAATCTGCGTTAATGAGAGATGAGACCTTGCAAAAAATTTTCCTACGAAATATTAAAACTATCAGCTTACCTTCTCTAATGCTAACTCGCTTTCAACAAATTGCACAACGATGGACATATCCATCAGTTGACCTGCTAAAGCTTTTTAAACTCATCACACCACCACACGAACAAATTCTCTCCTTCCTAAGCAACCGTAAATCCAGGCAATACTGGAAAACATTATCCTTCTCGAATTGCAACCATAAATTCGTTAGGGCACGCATCTGAAACGAATCAAGAGCTGTACAACATTGAACTAACGTTCGTGAATCTCACTGAACCATTCAACGTCGTTCGCTGATTGCTCGTTAGTGATGCTTAAAGTTTAACTTCGCTGGGCTTTGATTTCCAGAAGAAAGTGTTTTAAAAAATCACCAATTATGTACGATTTACCAACTTATACAAACTTTCTCATATAAAGTGGTTGCATCTGAATGAATAACCATCAATAGCCCGACAATACTTTTTCAGAGTCATTATCCCTCCACATATGTTTCATTCCTCCCTATCAACCCATTTTTCACACAGAAGTCGAAAACCAAATCTAGGGAACATTTCTAACGAGCATTATGACTAGCAACCATTTGTAATACCGTGCTATCTGATTGGTCAAATTAAGGTCATTTGACTTTGGTGCCTGTTGTTTACTCTTGCCGAAGAATCTGATTGGCTGTTTCAAGGCCGTCTGCAGTTGGTGCCTATTCTTTACTGTTGCCGGTTAGGGTTACGGTTAGGGACAGATTTAGAAGTGATGCCATTTATTTTAATTTGTTTTATTATCTATATTTCCCTGGTAAGTAGTTGTCGATCCTCTTACGGGAAACCATAGTAATTCAATCAAAGGCTTCCTGGGAAGACTGCACAACAGGATACAAAGAGATAAACAATTCACAAAAACAACTCATCTTCAGTCATCTCAGTGAATACATGTACAGAAACTAGTCTAACTTGACAACTAATAGTTTTCATGATAGGTGGGGCATATTTTTAAATGATGTCAGAGAAAGCTGCCCTGCTTAATGTGTTTTTCTGCATTTTCTTCTAAATGTATGTCATCTTTCATGCAAAAATTCTTCATTTTCACGATTGGTCGGCTCAAGGACACTCGGGCGTCCACATCCCTTTAGACGCTTTTGTTGAACTTTGCCCTAATTAGCTCCCAGGAAAGACGACTGGAACGTCAGGAGGAACACTTTGAAGAGAAACTTATCTGGCCTACAGCCACGTCAAACTTCCCTGCCATCCAACACAAACCTGCATAGTATGTAGACATCGGTTCACGCTGAAAATTCCACACTTGTACCAAAAATATGGTGTGAAATCAAGCTGTAATCAAAATAAGTAAATAAATGAATTTGTAACTGAAGTTACAAAGGCTATTTCTAATTTGACAGGGAGGAAGCAGCAAGATTTGATTGGATTACTCCACAGCTGTTTAAGGATGGTGGTAACCAATTGCTGTCTGGATTAAGATATTAGGCAACGGCTGGTTATCAGAGACAGTCCCTTAGGACTGGTGTAAGTCACTGACCATCCTAGTAAAAAAGACTGGAAACAAGTCTTCCTCCGACAATCACAAGGGAATTAGTTTAACCAGTATGGTGCCTTAATTTTTAGGATCATCAATCATGTGTAGATTAAGATGTGCTCAGGAGAAACAAATGCGAGAAAACTAGGCAGGCCTTAGACCAGATAAACGGTTCATTGATCATATCTTCACTCTTCGACAGGTAGGCACATTAAGTCGAGTTCAATCATTGCCATATATCCTGACCTGAAGGTTCCATTGACCAACAGATGCTTCGGCAATGCTTGGCCGTGAAGCGATTCAAAGAAGTACATAGCACTAATCAACGCACTTTATTCAAACCCGCGGAACCAGTTAATAGCTAATGGGAGTTGTTATCTGAAGTGATAACAACCAGTTGCGTTCGTCAAGGATGCCCAATCCTCTTTTCTGTCTAATTTCATCATAGATGTACTAATGGAATTAATCCTAGCTGACCTTTTACTGAGGAACAGTCTTGTTGACTTAGAATATGCAGATGATATAGTCCTCCATCCTAGGTGAAGACGCTGACAAAATGCAGTGTCTTAGGCATATCGAGCAGCATTTTCTAATGTCTGGCATATGATTTGCTTCTGTCATGTGTAAAAAGATGATACAGGACTGAATTACATCAACTCCCAGCTTAAAGATGAGCAGGAGTGAAGTGGCAAAGCCTTTTCACCACTTCACTTGTGTGGGGAGATGTATTAGCCCCAGAGGGTTGATCGTTGACGAAATTTCAGTACGGATACAAAGGTTCGTTTGGCATACGCCCGCCAAGTTACACCATCTCTGGCATAGACGTGATATCCGGCTGTCGACTAAAGGATGTGCGTACTGCTCAGCAGCCCACTTCGTCCTTCTTTATGGCCGGCTGTGAGACATGCCCACTGAAAGTGGAAGATACGAAAAGTATAACTGTCTTTGATCATAGGTGCCTGAGGTCTATCTCCCGTGTTAAGTGATATAATAATGTGAGCAATATTGAGGTTAGGCATCGGTGAGGAGGGGAAATTAATCAACGAGGCTATGAAGTTACGCCAGTTGAGATGGTTAGGACATGTGTTACGCATGCCTAGTCAATGGCTTCCTCGACGGGCGATTTAGCTGAAATAGGATCAGGTCGGAAAAGTGGTGGTCAAAAGAAAACATGGCTTCATAAGTGAATGAAATCTATAACAGTTAGTCTCAGCCAGCAACGTAGGGAGGTGTAGACTAGTTGGCTGGCTGGAATCCTCCGGATAGTAAGAATCAATGGCTGTAGACAATGAGTGATATGGCTCAAAATCCTCGTTGTCAATGGCTAGTGCAGATGCATTTACTCTTTGTGATTTACCATATCCCATTAAACTCTATTATTCTTCGATATTACTATTCTTCCTCCTTCATATTTCTGCAAAATACCCTTCTTTCGAACCTATTGTTTTCGCTATTCTCTTGCTTTGTGTGCTATATGGAGTGTGCCAACTCGAACCGCTGCATATCTGTGCAAAGTTCTGTGTCTGTCTGTCTGTTTTCAAAATAGAACTTTGCGCCGATGTTCGGCAGTTGAAGTCGCCGAAAGTAGAAGAAATGCATAATAGTGGAAGTTAACAAGGCTGTGAGACAGAGGAATAGCAATAACGAAGAACAATATGGTTTCATTCGAAATCAAAAGTCACAAGGAGTGGATGAATCTGAGCCAGCCACTGAGAACGATTTTGAGCCACATCACCAATCGTTTCCAACGATTGTTTTTACCGTCCTAAGGACGCCAACCAGAAAATCCACACCTTCCCGCATAACTGGCTTAAACGAACTGTTGTGGATTTCATTGACTGGTGCCATGCTTTAGTTTAACCACCGCTAGCTCTTTTCCAGTTTTACCCTATGTCAGCTAACATTGCCCGACTGTCTAGGAAGGCGATGACTAGTCATACGTAACACACGTCCTAACCATCTCAGTCGATTGATTTCCCCTCCTTACCTAGAACTCGATCGATGCCTAACCTCAGTATTGCTCACCTTACTATACCACTTCGCACGGGAGATAGAACGGACGCACCTATGATCAAACACAGCTAATCTTTTCATGTCTTCCACTCTCAATGACCATTTCTTGCTCACAGCCAGCCATAAATGAGGACAAAGCGGACTGATGAACAGTACACTCGCCCTTTGGTCGATAGCCAGCCGGATATCACGTCTACGCCACAGACGGCGTAAACAGACAGGCATATGTGAAACTAGCCTTCTGTATCCATGCTGAGATTTCGTCAACGTTCAACCCGTAGGCGTTGGTTGATGCAACTTCCCAAATAAGTGAAGCAGTCAACGTGCTCTACCACTTCACTTCCTATTTCTAAACTGGGAGTCAGTGTAGTCCAGTCCTTTAACCCCATCATCTTACATTTGGTGGGAGCGAGTCGCATGCCAAACATTCGTAGATTGCAGCTCAAGGTGTTCAGAAGACTCTGCTTGTATTTTGTCAGCGTCCTCGTCTGCATAATCTAAGTCAACAAGATTATTCCCTGATTCTGTGTTGAAACCAGTCAATCAAAAGGAAAAATAGGGCATAAATAGATAGATGTATATATATATATTTTTCGTACTTCATATAGCTTATTTCAAAGCAAAGAAGTGAGGCAGTTGAGGCAGAAATGATAGTGGAGTCAGTCATACAATCAAAGGAAAACTATTTACAAGAAATTAAAAATAAATATCACAGTTTATATTTTTTTTATGATAAATAAATAAAATAATAATAATACACACTTCACAAATGATTATGATTCAATGACTAGAAAATTTTTTGAATTGTTTAATGACTGATTGCTTAAGTGATTGAAATGGTATTCATTGACTTTTAAATAGTTAACTGAGTGTTCATTAGCCCCAGGATTATTATTATTATTATTATTATTACGACGATTATCACTGTTAATACTGATATTATCGATATCATTATTCTGGCTATTATTAGCATTGTTATTATCACCATCCTCATCACCACGATACAAGGTATTGTTTCTGCCGACAATAGATGGCAATTTACCTGACCATAACTTTTTCCATTCATTTAAACCATCGAATGTAATAACAGTTAGAAAAGTTATAAAAAATGTGCATGGACACAGGTATAATAAGGCAGGTTGACTACCACTGGTAACATTTAACACAGTGATGGCGATTACAAAACCAATCGAATAACCTAAACAAAATAAGAAAGACAAATAAATAAGGTTAGCAAAAGATATATATATATATAAGTGATACTAGATAATCATTTCCTCCTAGCTCGGCACTCTTCTTCATCACTACGCACCCACGATTCCATTCGCGTCGAAAACTGGAAATTTCAGGTTCTGAGGCGACCACATTTACCATTCACATACTGGGATGTAATTTAGGAAATAACAGGGCATGGATCTTTTCCCAGTGACTGAATGGGATTATGGATGCGTACTATTGAAAAGTCACAAAATGGGGTGAGACAGCAGTCCAATACTCTCAGGATTTCAATGGTTCTTTATACTAATGCCAATCCTTGATCTAACTTGAAACTCTACTGTGAACAACTACACCAATATCATCCAGCTGAGCTACATACCATCTTCACCATTTCTAAGAATTGTCTTTTCTCATTTTATATCCAAACGCGTTGGAGGTTCAGCGGTAGAACGCTTGCCAACTACGCCTCACATGGTCCGGGGTTCGATCCGAAGCCGACACACTTCCAGACCTCTCCAATCCAGTAGCAAGCACGGTGAAGAAGGAAGACTAGGCGTGAGACTAGCAACCCAACCCTGTAAAACTGAAACTACTGATACCGAAACTTAAAAGCTCTAGCTTGAAGCTCTATGTCCCAGTTGGAACGTAAAGGAATAAGATAAAAGTAACAACCGCATATCGAATATTCAAGTGTTGGTTTCTAGGGATTTGATTGGTTACAGGATTTCATCATGAGCTGGCATCAGTTAGAGAACCATTGGAAAACCACCTAGGAGTACTGGAGAGCTGTTTCGTCCTAGTTTGTGACCCTCAACAGTACGCACCCACAGGGATTTGAACCCAGGACTTTCTGGTTACAAGGCGAGCAAGCTCGTAGACCATTAAGGCACTGGGACCCGATCCAGTGGCCCATGAATTCTAACTTTTGCCAATTCATGAAATAGCGCGACCTCTAGCCAATGTCCCACTAGCGATTTACCCTATTCAGGTAGGGAGTTACCTGGGGTTCTAGTGAGAAGTTATAACCAGTAGGGTGCAGCAAGTCGGGTGTGAGGACAAATACTCGTCGAAGACATTGTCTAGCGGTTAGGCTATGTCGTGAATTGGCAGAAGTTAAGATTCATGGACTGGCCATTGGATCGGGTCCCAGTGGCTTAATGGTCTACGAGCTAGCTCGCCTTGTAACCAAAAAGTCCTGGGTTCAAATCCCGGTGGGTGCGTACTGTTGAGGAGTCAGAAACTAGGACGAAACAGCTCTCCAGTACTCCCAGGTGGTTTTCCAATGGTTCCTTTTATTGACGAAACTGAGTTTTATTTCAATGAAAGGCTCCCTTCGAAGTAGAGAATGCTGAAAAAAAAGTGAATACTCATCATCTAAATTTGTATGCAAACTTGTAAAAAATGGCACTCAGTTTCTATTCGAATGGTTATTAAGTCCTGCAACAACAACAAAACAACACACACACTCTAAGTTGATAAAATAAAAAACTGAAACTGCGTATAAAAGAAATTCTATGTGAAGAACAATCACAATGATGATATTTGTATCCAAACCTTTCTAAAAGATTGTTAATTGATTTTGGTATATTATATAGGCAAGTCTACTATTTGCAAGTAAATAAGGTCAAGACAACTAACTGATCACATATTTATAGTATTAGTAGTTTCTGGTTACTTAAAACGCTTTAACAGTTAAAAAACACAACACATTTATCTTAGATTAGACAGAAATTAAACAAAAAGTGAATCTAACTATAGAGAAATGACTGTGTACTATTATGATTATTACTATTTTTCTTTTGCTAAACCCACATAAAAAGTATTCACATTATGAGATATGAAGTATGAAACACTGATTGGATGACGATCTACTGGAAACGCAAAAAAAATGAGAATGTTTTTTGATCAACTACGCAAACTATAACCAAAAACAACAGTAAGTACTTTTTAGTTAGTATTAGAAAAGCAAGTTATTCATTTGAACACAATCCCTTAAATAAGGTATTTAGCAGATAAATATTACAAGACAAGATATCTTAGTACTATCATGTCAAATGGTGATTACGCCATAAAATTTTTGTAACAGTGATTCATAGGACGATGAAAATCAATTAATGCTGAAACGGTAGTAGACAAATGAAAAATACAGGGATTGACTTGATTTAGAATAAGCAGACGATATAGTCCTTTTTAGGCGAGGACGCTGACAAAATACAAGCAGAGTCTTCTGAATACCTTGAGCTGCAATCGACGAATGTTTGGCATGCGATTCGCTCCCACCAAATGCAAGATGATGGGGTTACAGGACTGGACTACACTGACTCCTAGTTTAGAAATAGGAAGTGAAGTGGTAGAGCACGTTGACTGCTTCACTTATTTGGGAAGTTGCATCAACCAACGCCTACGGGTTGAACGTTGACGAAATCTCAGCATGGATACAGAAGGCTAGTTTCACATATGCCTGTCTGTTTACGCCGTCTGTGGCGTAGACGTGATATCCGGCTGGCTATCGACCAAAGGGCGAGTGTACTGCTCATCAGTCCGCTCCGTCCTCCTTTATGGCTGGCTGTGAGCAAGAAATGGTCATTCAGAGTGGAAGACATGAAAAGATTAGCTGTGTTTGATCATAGGTGCGTCCGTTCTATCTCCGGTGTGAAGTGGTATAGTAAGGTGAGCAATACTGAGGTTAGGCATCGATCGAGTTCTAGGTAAGGAGGGGAAATCAATCGACTGAGATGGTTAGGATGTGTGTTACGTATGACTAGTCATCGCCTTCCTAGACAGTCGGGCAATATTAGCTGACATAGGGTAAAACTGGAAGAGAGCTAGCGGCGGTCAAACTAAAGCATGGCACCAGTCAATTAAATCTACAATAGTTAGTTAAAGCCAGTCACGTAGAAAGGTGTAGACTGCTGTCCGGTTGGCGTCCTTGGGACGGTAAAAAACCAATGGTTGGAAACAATCGGTGATGTGGCTCAAAATAGTTCTCAGTGGCTGGCTCAGATTCATCGACTCCTTGTGACTTTTGATTTCGAATGAAACCATATTGTTCTTCGTTATAACTTCATTTTGTCTCACACCCCTGCTTACTCTTACTATTATGCATTTCTTCTACTTCCTTCTCTTGCTTTGTGTGTTACATGGAATGTGGCGGCTTCAACTATCGCACATGGGTACAAAGTCTATATGTCGAAAACAGACAGAGGGGGAGGCATCTCTATATATCCAAAATACGTATACCTTATCTTCAACGCACCATTTGCACAGATCTTCGGGTTGTGGTACTTCTGGACTTCACGTTGGGTTTCCTTGTATTTCTCTCACGTCCACTACGTGTCTCCACAACGCTGAGTCATTTGCCTTCTCTGAAATCAAATGTATCTCCCTGCTATTTTTCTGCCGACGAACGTCTCTTTATATACTACTGATAAATCTTATCAGTAGCACTCACCACAACACTCTCATTTCTCTGAACAGATGAATACTCTAAGAATCTATGGAGAAGATAGTTATCATGGTCAGCAAGGATGTCTTAAATAGACATATGACAGTTTTAAAGTTATCAGACATGCTTCCTAATCTGCTGCTTTTTCGAAACGAAGCTACAAATTTGTTTATTTCAGTAACCAGTGGCTAATGCGCACACAATTCTACTGATTGCCCTTAAGTTAATCAGCAGTAATTGAGAAAAATTCTATTAGACAACTATTTAATCATACGGGAAATTCGATTATTCACGATCTCAATAAAAAAGTAACACCATCCACCACTGGTACTCAGCATCAACAACAAAATTCAGTCGGATTTTCAATACAAACAACGTCAAGTCAGTCAGTTCTTCTATACGGATCAGATCAGACACTTGGTGGGCGGGTCACAAAGAATATTTCCACCAACAGCCTGTTGCAGACCAGACCTTTATCAACAACTAACTGTCTTCGCTGGATCTATACTGAAGATCAGGTGGCCGGGCCCGAAAGAATCATCAACAAGAAACTATGGAAACAAACAAACAAAACAAGAACCAATCGCCAAGCGACAAATATGCAAGAGAAAGTGAATTGAGATGGATTGTACACTCGCTCGCCGAGGAGGCCGCCGCCAGGTGACATCGCGCGCACGTCAGGCCATCGCTCGAGTGGAACCAGGCCGGAAGGGAAGCGGTGAGTGGGAGGTCAGTGCGAGGGTGACATGGAGGCGATCGTGTGAAGAGAGAGGAGATGAATGAAACAGTATGGACTAACGTGGATGGATGGAGGTGAAAAGTAGAGCAGAAGGAAGACAGAAGTGGCAAGTGGAGACGTGCAGTTGAAGCCCTATGTTCCACTAGGAACCCAAGGGAACAGTAATAAATAAAAATAAAATCCACCACTGATGATTATATCACATTTATTTTACACGATCATAGTCTGAAATTATTAAAAAATGATGAAAGCACTCTGAAATGATGATCCCATACATCTGCAACTATGACATGTCTAACAAGATAAGCAAACTTTAAATTAAAGCCTAACACACAATCAGTGAAGAATAAAACAGATGCTTATTATTTAGAAATCATTGTGGAGATCCACAACACTCATCACAAGGAGAATAAGATCATAATATACAACACTGATGTTAAGTTAGTGCTTCTATTTAGATCAGAGAATTAATGAGTCGCTGGAGAAAGTTTCCAACAGACTGCAGACTTTCATCAACACACCTATCTTCACCTAATACTGAAGACTAGATAGCTGACGAGAAACGACAAACAACAAGGAACTCCTGAAACAAACCAGATGACAATATAACATAGATCTGACATACACTAAAAAAAGATATTCAAGTGACAGTACACCCCAGATCCCCGGATAGAACCCAAATGGGAACCGACGAGTTGGATGACCGACAGGGGGTGACACAAAGAAGACAATATGAGATGGAAATAAAAGCCCAAAGATAGGTGTGGAGCCTGTTGAAAGCAACAGGAGAGAACTGAGTGCAGTGAAGCCTTATGTTCTATTTGGAAGGCAAGCGATGAATAATAGTCAACGAGCGAAAGTCTATTTTTTCCGAGACAATTATTATTATTGTTTCTTTTAATTCCTAGAGGAGCATAGGGCTTCAACCGCACGTCTCCAATGCATTCGGTTCTCTGCCAACGTTTTTACCTGGCTGCACGTCTGCCCATATGCTTCCATCTCCTCTTCGCATGATCTCCTCCATGTCGCCCTCGCACTGACGACCAACTCGCCACTTCTCACTCGGGTTCCACTCGACAGAAAGCCTGTCGTGTGATGTCACCTGTGGTTTTCTCAGAAACAATTCTTTTTATTCCTCAACGTTCCCCAGTGGAATATAGGGCCTCAAGCTGGTGGCTTGAAGTTTCTGTAGCAGTGTTTATTTTACAGGACGGGGTTGCTAGCCTCATGCTCAACCTTTCCTCTTTACCAGCATTATTTCTGGCTTAGCGAGGTAAAGGAGTGCGTCAGTGGCCGGGGATCGAACCCCGGACCATGTGCATGGTCGGAGAGCGTCCTAACCGCCATGCCACCGACGCATAGAGACAATAGTTAACGTCAGACATTAATTACAGGATATTGGTTAGGCTGATGTCTCCTTCATTCTCGCATCCACAAGCATAAACAAAAACTGAAACATAATTTGGTATTCATCCCCTTGGGTCAATGTCAATGACACCATTCCGACCGTGGAACCGTGCAAATTTTAAACTAACGAAACACCATGAATACCACAGAAGAATTTGGAGCTCAAATGAATTTGGAATTTTAAGAGACATACTCACATATTTCAGACTTATTAGACCATAAAGTACTACCAACATGGTCAAACAAAATCCCTACAAAACCAACACTTGAAGAGTAAAATGTCAAATCAATATAAACGACGAAAAAAGCACTAAGCAGCACTAGAAATATCTCAGTCAATACTGCACACATATGATGATAAGAATAAAGATAATTAAAGTGATGTTTTAACGGGGTACAGCTGAAATCAACGAATTACAAAACTTTAAAAGATTATTGAATAAGTGAACTGGTATTTAAATTTTAAAAGTAGGTCAAGTTTTGTCTGAAAAATTAAGGGTACAATAATGATAACAGTAAAGACGGCGAAGGTGTAGTGAAGTGGGATGAATTCAAATGGTAAAATAGAATAAAATGGAAGAACATCACCATGATCAAGGTAAAGAAGGGGGTTTGACAAAACTTTTTTGAATACAAAATGTTTTGGATTTTGTCCATGTATAGCTAGAGCTGTATAAGTGAAGAAAACGTAGGCTTCTGCAGTGATTGGATTTGGTCCCGTAATTAACTTTAAAGGATAAATCACGTGGGGCTGAATGACCTGATTCTAGATAGTGTTCACAAACTGAAGACTTCGTCGCCCTACGCTGACTTACATTTAGTATTTATCAGCCGAAATATGATTCGACAATATGTTAAGAATAAAATACCTCTTACGTTTACCTCTACGCGCATATACTCATTCACATGCTCGTGTGGAGCGGATTACATTGGACGTTGTATAAGCAGGTTCTTCGTAAACGCATAGCTGAACACTACCCGGTTTGGTTACTGGAAGATTAGTACAGGACGACGAAGTCATCAGTTTGTGAACACTATCTAGAGTCAGGTCATTCAACCCCACGTGATTTATCCTTTAAAGTTATCTACAGGACCAAATCCAATCACTGCAGAAGCCTACGTTTTCTTCACTTATACAGCTCTAGCTATACATGGACAAAATCCAAAACATTTTGTATTCAAAAACGTTTTGTCAAACCCCCCTCTTTACCTTGATCATGGTGATGTTCTTCCATTTTATTCTATTTTACCATTTGAATTCATCCCACTTCACTACACCTTCGCCGTCTTTACTGTTATCATTATTGTACCCTTAATTTTTCAGACAAAACTTGACCTACTTTTAAAATTTAAATACCAGTTCACTTATTCAATAATCTTTTAAAGTTTTGTAATTCGTTGATTTCAGCTGTACCCCGTTAAAACATCATTTTAACTATCTTTAGTCTTATTATTCTTAAAACGTTTAGTGCTATTACAAGTGAACCCTAAAATAAGAATTCCAGAGACAACCAACAATGGGAGCCACTTATTACATTCACAAAGAATTCAAAAAGCTCACTTCATTTTGAAGACAAACCTGAAGATTTTGTCCGGAAAGTCAACGAAAGCTTGACGCATAACCTATCACAAGCTGAGAGAAGCCAAGAACACGAAAATTCGTAAAAACACCATTTTTTCCTACACGTTCCCAGTGGGAAATAGGGCTTCAAGCTAGAGGCTTAAAGTCTCTGTAGCAGTGTTTATTTTTTACAGGATAGTGTTGCTAGCCTCATGCCCAACCTTTCCTCTTCACCGGCTTTACTTCTGGCTGAGTGAGGTAAAGGAGTCCGTCGGCCGGGGATCGAACCCCGGATCATGTGCATGGTCGGCGAACGTCCTAACGGCTATGTCACCGACGCACAAAAACACCATAGTAATGCTTATATAACACTTTGTTAGGTTAAATTAATACAAACAAGTATACACCACCAATGATTAAAACGCTTAGCATTTCGATAAACTAGATAGCAGATGAATGTAGAAAAAAATTAAGATGAGTAACAATTATATTTAATTTGTCTTTTATTCCAAATATTCTAGTAAACACAAAATAAATTACCAGAATTAAGATATATACCTTTAGACAGAGGTAAATAGATTTCGTAGACGTACACTTACCTATATATCCTCCAACAAAATGTCGGTAATACGAAATTCTCCAACATGCGTCATAGAACACCAAAAACATAAGAAATAATCCTAGGAATTGAAAGGTAGGAGAGATAATCGTTTTAAGCTAGCAAGATATTCAGTAATGTATAGTATCTACATAACTCGGGAAATAAGAATGTCATTCTAATACCTTAATTACTTTCAATTATTCCACTATGAACACAGACTAATTTTTTGATGAACACCAAAATTGAAAATTATGAAAGCATAATTAACAATCAGACCATTTTTAGTGGTAACAGCCTTTACTTTTGACCAATGATTCACTCTCTTCGGCGTAGGTATCCTATAAATGACCTGAAGCGGCCAAGAGTGAGTGGACTTTGGACTTCCTCTCGAAATGCTCTGATGTGACTATGCATTTATGGCTCCCACTAGGTAAGTTCTTTCTACTGCCTTCAAGAGATGGGAGTGTTCCCACAAAAGTGCAAAGGCAAGTGTGAACGTCTGTTGCTCACAACCTAACTGGTGAACAGGCTTATCTCTCTAGGGGAGCTGGAAAACCCTCACTCTAAACCTACTTACTTACTTTACTTCGGCTATCTCCTACGGGAGGATGAACCGGCTTCATGAACATCTCGAATGTTTGTAAGAGAGTTGATGAAGTTTCATGGGAATTGGGTACGAGTGATGTCCCCAGCATCGCTCGGCCTTTTGTTTGAGAGTGCAGCTCTAGCCTTTACACAGCCAAGTGTGACCTACAAGGCAGTAGGAGTAGAGTAGGGAGTCCACTATCCATTGGCAGCCGGTGACCGGAGTCCGGTTCATACGCCTTTTTGAATGGGGCCAGACATCCAGGGCATCCAATAAGCTCTTTGTCCATATGTCTGCCGGTGAACTCCGGTGAGCTTCATACGCCAGTCGTTGGAGGTTTGGAATCAGGGTTTAGCCATCTCCCCTAGACTGTCATCCAATGGACAGTCAACCCGGTGAAGAGCGCCGGGCATCCGCTTTTGCCCTCTCACTTCGGTGAAAAACACCTCCGCCACGTGAAGGCAGTGAGTAGGACTTCCTCAGGCGAGGCTATGTAAGACGCACGGTCATATGGGAGCATTTCAAGAGGTGTACGGAGGGGTGGCTAGCCCGCAGCGCAAGACACCCACCCCCGACCATCCTGAGGCTTTGGAGGCTCTCTAAACCTACGGTGCACTTAGGCTACAGAATCCAAACGGATCCGATTGCGCATGAACCTGGTTTGGTCACCAGGATCCATGGGAACACAACTCCACTGCCTTATGGATCAGACTTGAAGTCAAAGGCTCAGAGAGGTGTGGCACACACTGTGGAGGATTATCTGCCTCCATGTGGACATCCGCACAATATCCAAACCCATGTACAAACTATGAAATTTTGTATGGCGCATTTTTCAGTGCCTATAATGTACCAAATCTGTGTTTTAATAATAACAATCTACGTAGACGTAAAATAGGACCGTAACCTGAAAGTCCTGGGTGTGATCTCCGGAGGGAACGTAGGTGACTACTGATGAAGCATCCCAAACAAGGACGAAATACCTGTCCAGTAATCCCTGTTTTCCAATATTTCTCCAACTAAATTCAGTCCATCATCACACTTAAGGACAAATCGAGTCTCTTCAAGCTAACTGTTGAAAAACAACAAAGACAGTGAGACTGCTCAAAACACAACTAGCTTGCCTTACTTACATCGTGAAATGAATTCCCACTGTTGTCGAAAAACCAAAGCTCAAGTCTGAAGCTCTATGTTCTACTGAGAACCCAAAGAAATGAATAAAGTGTCACTCAAAATCCAATCACAACAGCTTTCCATAGTAAGTCGACTGTGAGTTTTAGTGCTGCTTCGACACAGTACAAAAGTAGGTAGTTGATAAGGGATTGGAAGCTGAGATTGTTTTGTTGTAAACCAAAGTTATGCAATATGAGTTTCAGTAGAAGAACGGATTTTACACGAGTTGCAAAGTCCTAAACGGTACTTCTGAAGCGCTCAAACAGAGAAAACCTACGGTGATTCGAACCGTTAACTATTTTCAAATAAGGTGGTAGAATTTCATCATTTTTCGATATACTGAAGAGACCGTGAGTACATCAGTGTTGATGATTTCCCTTGAACTGATTGGTAGATGTGATTGCTTAGTCTACAACACAAATCACTTCTAACTTTAAAAAAAATATAAGCACAATTAAAACTGAAGAAATATTTTTATACATATCAAAAGTAGAGGCATTCAACTGTGCGTTGCCGGTTCAATAGTAAAATGCTCGTCAGCCACACAAAAGGTTCTGGTTTGATTTTCAGTTGACAACCTTTTATTAGCCGGTCGAGCTAGCAACCTCACCGCATAAAAACGACACTCTTATTGAAACTTCATACGCTTGTATCTGATCCACAACTTGTGAATCTCAAGTAGAATTATTACTTATTAGTCATTGGTGTGAATAAAACAAGGAGTGATTGGACAAATTTTCTCCGTATATAAAGCTCTGACTTCTACTACTCCTATAGCTAAAACTTCAGAAATACAGATAAGGCGGATAATGTAACGATTTCGACACGTTACTTCCTGACTTATAGATCACTTTAAAGTGAAGTGTTGTGGAAATTATCAGATGACCAGTGTTGACCAGATGTTCTTATAGCTCCACTTCCACTTAATCATAACCGCACAGATTAATGTAATTTAGCCCTCTTTCGGATATAACCAACGTGGAACAACCGAAATATCAAGCTACACAGAATAAGTTGAACTGGTCAGCACATATGAGAGTTGATAATTGGTGGAATATTGTCCTCTACGTTACTGAATAGTAAGAGTCGACTAGAAAATATTATTGACAGAAGTATTACAGTGGTTATCTTTTTCAAGGATTGTGAGATCTTTCTTCTAAAGATGTCTGAAACTATGTCACTATCGAATTCAACGTCCATATGTAGCATTTTCTAGGATACAGACGATAGGTCAAACTTCACAGATTTTGGTTACGTATTTTTGTCTTCAAAACATAGTGAATATCCATTTTTGATAAGGGATTTTCTTAGAAGATTTAACTCTTCCTCCAAGGTAGTACTCGAATCAGGCTCCGTTTGCTTCTCAATGCTTTACTACATCTCCTTGGTAGCCTTACACCTAGAAGAAGAAAGTTAGACATTTTCTTTATTTCAACTGTGAATCATATCCCTGGATGGCTTGGTTCGAAAGCTCGCTAACGTAAAACAGTAAACAATACCTGACTCAATGTAGCGATTTCAGATTAATTCGTTTTACTGTTAATTACACTACGATGAATAATGCTCGGGTTTTGATCACACTATCCAAAGAGGCTCACATATCACATGAGGCGTAGATGTAAATTTAAAAAAGCCCTATGAGTAACCATGTGATCGTCATATTAAAAAGCAAAGTGCCTGATCAGCCATAATCTATCCCTGATTCTTTAGTCTCACCCAGTGATTCAGTGACCATGTGGTATTGATTAGATAAATACCAAATTTGGTCAATAAAAATTGAATGACAAACAGCACACTTTTTGGGTTTAGCTTACATGAATAAGGATAACAAACAAACAAAAAAACAAACAATTTACTAAATAATTCAATTTACCCGGTATAACAGCATCTCCAAATCCTAATAGTGAACTATGCGGTAAAGTGTCACTAACATAACTATTAACCTGGATATACTCATTAATAAGTAGACGAAATGACAATGGTAATATTTCACCACTTTTTCCAGCTGTTCCAGTAGCTACAGCTTCCATATAACTGTCAATATTTGATCGTCGTCTTCTTACTTGTTCGACATTTGGATGGGTGTTGACGTCAGTTGATGAATGTGACTGTAAACATAATTGAATCAGAATGAAATCAAGACGCACAAAAAATATCAAACAATGAATTATGTAATCACTAGAAGGAAGAGTTAATGAGTAATATAAAATTATGAGACAAAAATACTTATGTAAAGGTGAATCATACAGCACAACATGTATTTGAATTTGGTGTCCTAAAAATCCCCATTGATTCATATGAAAAAGAGGAGACATTCATATAGCTGTATAATCGCAATCATACACAATCATTTTTTTTGAGTATACATGAGGTTTGTCAAGTTTAGATAATTAATCAGGTAATACAAGAATGATCTAATATAGAAACAAGGTTAATCAGACAGCAACTAAAGTAAGATTGAGTTAGTAAGTTAGATGACGTAATATAACTGACTAAAATGTTACAACTTAGGTCAGCATAGCAACAGAGAAAATTACAGGTAGAGATTGAGTAGAGGTGGAGTAAGGAATAATGTCATTTAAATTAGGACCAAAGCTGAGCAAATAAGTTGGATGACGTAACATAAATGACTAGAAATTGGGTGTTGGTCAAGTCAGTAGTAGTTGTAACCAGGTGTAGAAATTAAACCGGGTGGGGTAGAGAGCAGGAAGGTTGAAAATGTAAAATATTACGATTGAGAAGACAAAATAATACCAATGAAGAGACAGAAAGAAAATAGAATTTACCTGTCGGGTATTAAGATAGATTACGTCCATTTCAAGTGTAGTGATTGAACGAACTTCTTTTGTATGCAGAGTTTAGAACTTAGCAAGAGAATTGCCATTGCTTCTGAAGTTTGAAATAGTCTGATTCGTACACTTTTAGGAAGACTGCTTCGTATTCTGTGGACGACTTTGAAGTTTGTCTGTTTGTTTGGGGTGTAGCTTGGTGTCCAGAATCTATCAGATGTTCCAAGATAGAGCTGTGGGAGTATCATTTTTCTCCTTGGTAAAACCATGCTGGTAAATGTTCGTTGATACGTTTGGAAAGCGAACGCTGGGCACGGCCGACATACCTGGCTCCACACGAGTAGGTGAATTAGTGGATACACATTGATAAAGCCAGCAGTGGTAGTTTATCCTTCACGTCTATACGAATCATAGGTTTCGTGGAGAAGGTTAATCGTAGTTCAGTTGCGAAGAAGGTTTTCTTAAGTGAACGGGACAATCGATTTTTCAGTGCTTCTGCAGATAAGTCTGCATTGAATTGAAGGTTTATGTAGAGGAGCTTTTTCGGGAGGCTAAGCGTGTGCGGCTTTTGTGGTCTAGGATTCATGGATTTACCATAATCTCTTCTTTTTCAAAAGTCCTTTCAGCTCCTTATAATGTCTCTTCGTTAAAATGGGCCCTCCGTTGGGTTTGATAATTATAAACTTTTAACAACAGCATTATTCTCTACCCCACTTCTACTTAGTCTCTACCTGTAATTACCTCTGTTGCTATGCTGACCTAAGTTGAAACATTTTAGTCAATTATATTACGTCATCTAACTTACTAATTCAATCTTACTTTAGTTGCTGTCTGATTAACCTTGTTTCTATATTAGATCATTCTTGTATTACCTGATTAATTATCTAAACTTGACAAACCTCATGTACACACAGAAAAAATAATTTTCAAGTATTGGTTTTTGTAGGGATTTTGTTTGATTGCATGGAGGATTTAATCATGAGCTGACATCAGTTAGAGAACCACTGGAAAACCTGGGAGTACTGGACAGCCGTTTCGTCCTAGTTTGGGACTCCTCAGCAGTACGCACCCGCCGGGATTCGAAACCAGGACCTTCTGGTTACAAGGCGAGCTCGTATACCATTGAGCCACTGGGACCCGATCCAATGGTCCTTGAATTCTAACTTCTGCCAGTTCACGACATAGCGCGACCACTTCGCAATGTCTTCTTCCATGAGTTACTGCCTCATCTTCGACCTGCTGTACCCTACTGGTGGGTGCGTACTGCTGAGGAGTCCCAAACTAGGACGAAACGGCTGTCCAGTACTCCCAGGTTTTCCAGTGGTTCTCTAACTGATGTCAGATCATGATTAAATCCTCCATGCAATCAAAAAAAATAATTATATATGATTGCGACTGTACAGCTATGTGAATGAATCTGGTGTCATTGTGTTGCAAGCGAGTGGATCTATTCATGATCACCATACTTGATTTATTCACCAGAGTCCAAACTTTATCCCATATGCGTTAGTGATCATATCTATAGTTCATTAAAAATACCAATCAAGACATCGAAATAAAAAATTAAAGGAAAGTTTAATGATGCCCATTCAGCAATAAACTTTACTATAGAGGAAGAAAGTAATGACTGTATCTCATTCCTAGACGACTTCATGGCAAGGAAAGAAGATGACACACTAAGAAGGAGTGTGTACAGGAAACCTACTACAACAGGACAGTACACTCATTTTTTGAGTTTTGTACCTTTGAAATATAAACGCAACCTGGTAAAGTGTCTGGTTCATAGAGCTAGGTTAATCTGTTCAGACGACTGCTTCAATGAGGAGCTTGAGATTATTAGAGAATTACTTAGAAAAAATGGTTGTCCAGATAAGTTTATTGAGAAAAATATGAATTCATCACCTAGGACAGTGACTATGGCAACAGTTCCGAAAAAACCACTGTTCATAAAACTTCAGTTCCTCGGCGACAACATCAGCGAAATAATAACGCAGCGACTGAGGAATGCAGTTAAAAGAGCTTATTATGCAGCAGAGGTACGCTGTCTCTTCACGACCACACCTATCCTACGTTCGAGTAATAAGGATAAACTACCTAAATTCGCCTCTTCTATGTGTATCTACCAGTTTGACTGCAGCTGCGGAGCCAGCTACATCGGGCGAACAATTAGGCAGGTTCATCATCGTATTTCCGAACATCATCCGGCATGGTTAAGCAAGGGACAAACAAAATCTATTCGTAGCTCTATTTTAGCCCACCTTGTAGATAGTGAGTATAAGGTTGATGTTAATACTGCATTTAAAATTATTTATCGCATTCCTACTAATCTTAATTTTGCTTTACGAGTTCGTCTTCTACATACAGCTGAAGCAATAGGAATCCACCTGAAGAAGCCAAACTTGTGTGTCCAGAAGAAATTTGTACAGCCACTTTCCTTACTTTGGCCATCGTTACATGACTGTATAAACTGGACTACTCCATCACCCTCCCCCTAGAATAATTTTTCTTTTTAAAAACTATAATTGTCCAAATTATTTTATTTTTCTGACTACTTCATCTTTAATTACGTGTTATCCTTGTAAAAATTATTTTATTCTTATGACCACTTCAACTTTAGTTACAAATTATCATTGTCCAAATTGTTTTATTTTCTTTAACAATCTGTTACGTAATCAACCTGTGCACACGCTTATTCCTTAATTGCTCTTCATTTTTCCAAAATTATGCATTATGCAATCCACGTGTTGTAACCATTTCCACCTCTTAATTATAAAAAATTAAACAGCTAACGGAAGAATCTCTTCCCGGTGAATTCACTCCCTTAGCTGAGCATTCACAATTATATACGTAATTATTTTTGCATGTGTGTATGTATACACAGTACAAGAATAAAAACTAGTTTAGAGTACTGTTCACATCACCAGAATATTTCAAAACAGTGATGAATACTCAGAATTGTAACCAGGAGTGGTTAAGATTAATAAGTTTAGACTAAGGTTACGTAATATGAAAAGACGTTTAGGAAAATCCGGATATCAATGAAAGAGACTGGAGACAAGTATCAAAATAAATTATGTAGTAGGTGAAGACAAAATAAATAGAAGGTTAGAAGAATATGGAAGAATACCATTCCATATTGGTTTGTTTTTTAGATGTATCACACAGTCAATGAAACAGTATTATTTACTGGATGACGTTTCGAACAAAATTTATCACTGTTCATAATCATACCAATTGTAATCACACGACTTTGAAACTTGAGTTCTATAGTTTTCTTTGTCCTCTCCTATTTGTCGTAGGGGTAGTAGAAATTTCCATATATCTGGGACAGGTGTTGAATCATTCCTATTACATGTATTTGCAGTTGATTCGATAAACCAAGCTTTTGTTATCAATCTCTCCCTCCACCCAGCTGTGAAATTAGATCTTAAAACTGTCATCCTATCCCATCCTATTGTATGGTTGTGTGGAACTATTCTCTAGATTTCTTATCTTATTTGGGTCAAGTAATCTAGATTTTGCTAGTTTTTTTATGCTCGGCTAGTCTGACTGGCTACTAGTTTGACCTATGTATTTGACCTGGCAATCATTGCAGGGTATTAGATAAACTCAATTGTTTTGTTTTAAAGGCTCCACAGACAGGATCCTTTAACCGACAAAGCTTGTTTCTAATTGAGTTTGTGGGTTTGAATGCTACCTTTATTCCTGCCTTGTTAAGAATTCTGTGTAAATTAAAACTTAAGTCATTGGATTGCTATTGGTGCATAAGCTATCCGTTTTCCATATCTTAAACTTATTATTTACCAGTCGTGTTACTATGATCTCTCATAGTATTGCTTTTTCCATGCAGCAATAAATCTTTGCTTTCTCAGTCACTTTTCTATGCGTCTTCTTCAAAAAAGCGTCGGGTGGGGTGGTAGTAGTCGAATAATTAGTTGAATGTTGTCGAGTGTTGAAGTAACAGTATGTTATTACTATTTTTAGGGAGGTGGGTGGGTTCCAACCAGAACATAAGGTTTCAACAGCACATCTCCATGTCATTCTGTTGTTCATAGTGTTTTTTTTATTTAGTTCCACAATTTCCCATAGGCTCGGATAATCTCAATACACGATCTCCTCGATTTCACCCAACCTTGGATATATGCACGACACTTGTTGGGTCCCACTTGAGGGATTGACTGTTGTGTGATGTCACTCGATAGCTTACATTATCTACAGTAAGAGTTACATAAAGAACTACTATGAACATCTTTTTCCGTATTTGTACTTAAGTGACCGCAAGCTTTCAAGATGACTGCTAGTAAAGTAAGTGTGTGTTGAAAATATCCTAGGCATCTCGATTAAACAAGTTTCAAAAAATTTTCCAAAGTCATACTCATGCATCCCATACTCTTCAGTGTATGATTATCTCAACGTTTCTGAAAATATCGAAAATAGCACAGCAGTTCGTAAGGTATAACAGAATTCAGTATATCAGATCGGTGTCATTAAATAGGCAACGGTGCTTGTCTTTCTTCAATATCTGTCTGTCTGTTTTCGACATAGAACTTTGCACAAATGTGCGGAAGTTCAAGTCGCCACACTCCGTGTAGTACGAGAAACAAGAGAAGAAAGTACATGAAAAGCATAACAGAAACAGTGAGCAGAGGTGTGAGACAAAGGAGGAGTAATAACGAAGAACAAAACAGTTTCATTGGAGATCATAAGTCACAAGGAGTGGATGCATCTGCGCCACTGAGAACGGTTTTGAGCCATGTCACCAATTGTTTCCAACCATAGATTTTTACCGTCCCGAGGACCCCAGCCTGGAAGTCTACACCTTCCTACGTGGCTTAGACCAACTGGTGTGGATTTCATTGACTGGTGCCAAGTTTTTGTTTGACCGCCGCTAGCTTTTTTCCAGCCTGACCCTATATCCGCTAACATTGCTCGTCGAGGAAGGCGATGACTAGGCATACGTAACACATGTACTAACCATCTCAGTCTTTGTAGCTTCACGACTTCGTCGATTGATTTCCCCTGTTTACCTAGAACTCGACGCCTAACCTCAATATTGCTCACCTTATTATGCCACTTTACACGGGAAACAGAGCGCAGGCATCTATGATCAAAGACAGCTAGTCTTTTCATGTCTCCCACTCTCAGTGGCCAGGTCTCACAGCTAGCCATAAAAGAGGACGGAGCGGACTGATGAGCAGTACACCCGCCATTTGGTCGATAGTCGAATATCTCGTCTACGCCAGAGACAGCATAAACTGGCAAATGCGAAACGAGCCCCGTGTATTTGTGCTGAGATTTCGTCAGAGATTAACTCGTTTAAGCTGATGGTACTTCCCAAATAAGAGAAGCGGTCAACATGCACTACAACTTCACTTCCTAATTTTAAACTAGGCGTCGATAGAGTCCAGTCCTGTAACATAATCTTGCATTTCACGGCGGGAGCGAATCGCATGTCAAACATTCGTAGGTTGCGGCTCAAGGTGTTTAGAAGACTCTGCATTTCGTCAGCGTCTTCGTCTAGAAGGACTATATCGTCTGCATATTCCAAGTCAACGAGATTATTCCCCGGTGGCAAGTCAATCCTTGAGTCACTGAAGTCACTTAGGGTTAAGTCCATTAACACATCTATGATGAAGTTGAATAGAAAAGGGGATAATGGGCATCCTCGACGGACACCACTGGTCGTCACCAGTTCAGATGACAGCTCGCCGTAAGCCCTCACTTGGCTGTATGAGTACGAGTAGAGTGCCTTAATCAGTGCAATATATTTTCTCGGAATTCCCTTTACAGCCAAGCATCTCCAGAGAACTTCTCGATCGACATAGTCTAATGCTGCCTTTAGGTCAAGAAATATAATGATTGTTGGACGCCGGTAGGAATTCCTATGTTCTAGAATCTGTCGGAGGGTGAAGATATGATCAATACACCCCCTTCCTGGTCTAAAGCCTGCCTGGTTCTCTCGTGTTTGTGCCTCCCTAGCACCACTCAGTCTACGCATGATTATTGAGCCTAAGACTTTAGATACTATATTAGTCAAGCTAATCCCTCCGTGATTATCACAGGAAGACTTGTCTCCCTTCTTGTATATCGGGATAATCAGTGACTTACACCAACCCGATGGGACTTCTTCTGATATGATTTTCCATATGATATTAACTGTCATTAAGTGTAGACGTATATCCATTTAAAACAATAAGTCCCTTTGATAAATTTGAATAAGGCATTAAGAAGACAAATTTCGCGAGTCCTGACATATACAGTCAGTTTTACTAGCCAATGGTTATCCAGAAAACTTCGTCAATTGTCACGGTAAGGATAGACCACATCTTGAAAAGACAGCTTCTGTACCAAAGAAAGCCATCTTTATTAATCTACCATTCAAGGGCGACCAGATCACGCAGTTGACAGCTCAAAGACTTCGGTCAGCCATCAAACGCACATTCTACGCCGCATCTCTTTTTCTCACTTGCCGAACATTTTCGATCCCTGTACCTATGATTAAAGGACGAAATTCTGTGGACTCTAATTCAAACTGTATCTACAAGTTCACCTGCAGCTGCGGTGACACCTATGTAGGTAGAACTAACAGAATGTTCCAATGTCGTCGAAAAGAATATGTTCCAAAATGGCTACTAAATCATATAGAAAATCCCAACGCGATTAATCTGAATAGAAATCCAGCATCATCATCCAAAACAATTATTAATGTCAAGTCACTAAATCAATCAATATTAATGACTGTTTCACAATTATTTCACATAAAATCTAAACAAGTTTTCGCTTCTGTGAGTCTGGCATTATACTTCAAGTACTCATTGAGTGCCTTTAATGCACTGGGATCCACACGTGATTTCAAATCGTTAAATATTCCCATTTATAATGTTAGAACAAGACATATAAGCGAACAATATTGTTTTCAATTAGATCTTCTTCAGGCTTTACTCTAATTTACATAGACTTATATATATAAAATTTTAACCAATGACGGTGATTCAGTGGATCAAATAATAATAGAAATCATGATAATAATAATAGTAATAATAATGTGGTAAATGTTTTGAACGAAGTTAATAACGATGATTATAATAATAACAAAATATTGTTAATAAGGCTTATATAGGTGATAAGAATAACTTCGTACTTTTATGATATTTATTTAAAAAACTCTGATTATCGTTCCATTTGATTTGACCTAATTTATTTATTTATTGAATTGTCTACATATATGCATATACTAACTTTGTTATTCTTATCACCTATATAAGCCTTATTAACAATATTTTGTTATTATTATAATCATCGTTATTAACTTCGTTCAAAACATTTACCACATTATTATTACTATTATGATTATTATTATTATTATTATTATTATTATTATCATGATTACTATTATTATTTGATCCACTGAATCACCGTCATTGGTTAAAATTTTATATATATAAGTCTATGTAAATTAGAGTAAAGCCTGAAGAAGATCTAATTGAAAACAATATTGTTCGCTTATATGTCTTGTTCTAATATTTCACATAACTCTAATTCAAGGTTGGTTATTGAAGGCGATGGAAGCACTTTAGAGGATTAATCACATACAGTCTAAACTGTGTGTACAAAAAACAACAGACTTCAATCTTCGCCTATCATGCATGGGCAACATGACCTATCTAAATATGATTGGTCATTAGTATGTACTTTTGTTTTTATTTAACTGAGTAATTGTCTGTCATGGTGAACTACGAAATGATGGCATCATCTCGCGAAATTTGTCTTCTTAATTCCTTATTCAAAGTATATCCATTTAGAAATGATGCAGATGATTTACAGCCTAAGTAGATGATATTGCTGTGATTGTGTGGATGGTTTATTGGTGACATTTTCACTATCTTCCTATTGACGTCTGCACTGAAGATGTTGGTCTAGACGATAGACAATGATGAAGGCTTGACAAATAAACCATCGAGCACAAAAAGCTGAACTACACGATTATACGTATTTACTATCCATTTGTCCAGCTAGTGTCACTAACATCCAATCACATATATACTATTGAGTACTACTAATATAACACTTTCAGAAGAGTAAGATATGAAAGTTGTATAAATAATACTAGAAAATAAAATAGTTGCAACTTACACTGAATAATGGCGTGATAAACACGAAAAATACATCGTATATCAAGAATCCCACGAATAAAAGTGTACCAACCTAGGAAAGACACAAAATATGATATGAAAGGATATACACCCACATATGAACATTGTTATTACATTAATAGTAAAATGAATGTATGATGAGTCTCAGGTGAACAGGTTACATGATGTGGGTTAAAAAGGTAAGACAGCAGTACACGAAAGTTGACAATTAAAATATATAGGTTTGATTACAAGTTGATATCAGTTAGAGGAGAACCGTTGAAAAACCTCGGAGTACTCGACAACTGTTTCGTCAGCTTAGTGTACGACTCTTCATCAGTTGGTCTATCCAGCTCAGGTACCAATGATTGAATGATTTATGAGCTCACCTCGTAACCGCAAGGTCGTAGGTTCAAAACCCACTGGGGGCTTAACAACGAAGAATGCCAAGCACTAGGATGAAACAGCCGTTCAGTACTCCCAGCAGGCTTTCCAATTGATGTAATTAATCAAATCCCTGAAAACCGCCGATTGATAGATAATTAACAATATAAACATTTTCTCAACTTAACGAGTGTTTGAGAAACACACTGTATATGACCACCAATAAAATTATTAACCATTTTTATATTCAAATAAGACAACCATTTACATAATAAAAAACAAAAAATAATTCGGGTTAGAAGTTCTATTACAAATAAATAACCAAATAAAAAACCGTTTGATATACACATATATATACATATATTCAATAAATTTAGAGGTTAGAAAGCAATTTGCCGACTTTTTTAAACCACTGCATGATACCTTGTAAGGTGCATATCTGAAAAATTATGCTGAATACAAACAAGATATAATAATAATAATGAGTGCAATATAAGGGTAAAGTGAAATATCAATCGAGTGAAAACAAACATTTCTAAAAATAAGTTCATAAATAGGACATCTTAAACAGTTGGATACTATAATCTGCTCTGAGCCCTTTTATTACTAAACTTCGGGACAAAAAAAAAACCACAAACAACAAACAACCAGAAGATTAAAACAGTGAAATCAACAAATATCTTCATAAGTATATCCAGAATTAATTTTCACTGATCTTAGCCATATATATATATATATAAACAGATGATTTATGTTGGATGTCACACAAATTCGAAGAATTACAAGTGAAAACCGACAAACTGGTCGAAGAAGCAGCAAATACAGGACTCCAAGTGAACATAGACAAGACGGAGGTTATGAAAATAACCAACCAACCAACAACAACAGCAGAAACATCCGGCGCCAATCACCACCAACGGGAGGGATTCGAAAGAGGTTACTTCATTGATTCACTTATCTAGGGAGCATTGTCTCAACTATAGGAAGTCGGAACGGACAAGGATGTCGAATCGAGAAGGCGAGAAACACATTCATCAACCTGAAACAAACAATCTGGAAATCTTCGTCACTCAACTCAGCATCAACAACAAAATTCGGTCGGATTTTCAATACAAACAACGTCAAGTCAGAAACTTGGCGGGCAGGTCACAAGGAATATTTCCAACAGCCTGTTTCAGACCTCCATCAACCAACAACTGTCTTCGCTCTATACTGAAGATCAGATGGCTGGGCCGGAAAGAATCATCAACAAGAAACTATGGGAACAAACAAAACAAGAACAAACCAATCGCCAACCAACAAATATGCAGGAGAAAGTGGATTGAGATGGATTGGACACCCGCTCGCTGAGGAGGCCGCTGGGTGACATCGCGCGCGCGTCAGGCCATTCCTCGGGTGGAACCAGGCCGAAAGGGAAGCGGCGAATGGGACGTCAGTGCAAGGGTGGGTGACATGGAGGAGATGGTGTGAAGAGAGAGGAGTTGAAACAGTATGGACCGACATGGTTTCAGGTGAAGAGCACAGCAGAAGGCAGAAGCTAGTGGAGACGCGCAGTTGAACCCCTATGTTCCACTAGGAACCGAAGGGAACAATAATAAAATTATATATATGGCTAAATCATTAGAATATCGAGTTCATGCCACAGAGATTATTGATCAAAATCTTGTTGTCACATTTGAACTTCTTTCATTTTCTTCTTCTTCTTTATCATCATTATTATGATCGTAATCTTTAAAGATCACTTTTTTGGTGTAGTTGTGTTCTCTGAGTTGGCTGCATGGTTTATTTGTGAAGCTTTTATTGCCCTACTAGGCAACATTTTCAGCGCATATTTTAATTTAGTTGGAGTGGGCTTTTAGATTTCTTCACGAGTTTATTAATCCCCTCTCCTGTCGTCGAAAGGTTTGTTACTTATCGTAATATGTTGAATTGTCACTAAGTGAAAAACGATGTACGCCCATAACTAACTTCTAACTAACAATCGAATCACACAAAAAAATAAACCACAGCTTATTCAAATTCCGACATTTGTAAAGTAAAAAAGTACAATTAACTTTATTTAAACACTAATAATCATTACCTTAACCGATGGTACAACCAAAGAACCTGAAAGAATAGTTGATACTAATAGTAATCCAATAACAGATTGAAGAGGCCAACCAATCCTGAAAAATATTCACAATAAAATAATCACCAAAGGAAACGATATTCAAAGTAAAAGTTAATGAAATGATAATTTATTTGACCAGTTGATACATTTAGTAGAATACTACAACTCCCAACTTTTGTTGTGATTAGCTTTATTTATAATCCAGACTGTTGTAATTACTGGTGACTTGGTTTAAGCCAATGGGTAATCTAAATTCCCGTTGTTCAATATAAAATGCTTGTTGTTTTATTCTTTCGACGATGTCTCGAATTGCAACATGAAGTCACACAATTAGTCAACTTAAATTGCAAGCTACTGCTCTGCACTTCACGAAGTCTTTTCTGGTGAGCCGATGTTTCACCATGCGATATACTGCCGGTGAATATTTTGTTTGAAGATTCGATTACTCTGAGAATTCCGTATAGTGTGCAAACATTGTTCCCATATTAAGCTATTATTATTCACTGACAGTAGCTAATGAGTTAACTCTTCTGCCTTCGCTCCATACTAAAGATCAAATAGCCGGCTGGTCAGCCAGGAAGAATTTGAAACAGGAAACTCTGGTTGGCTGGAACGTAGGATAAAATCAAAAACTCAAAAGAACATCAATACTAGAGACATTAAGGTATCTAATGTGCTTATTAGAAACTAAAGTGTAAACTTTCTGCAAAATATTGTTAGACTGATATGAGTGAAATTTCTGTTGGTTACCACAGTTATATCGGTGTGCAGTGGGATAACAATCAATACAGTGAATAAAACTGTATTCCTAGATCTTTGTCTATAAACTTATATCTATTCTGAGAAGTTAATTGGTGAATGGTGGTGACTAGCAGTGGAATCCAGAACGCGCATTTCATCCTATTTGGGACTCGTTACCTGGATGTACCTGCATTCCGCCGTGAGTGATGATGTTCCCACCGAGGCTCGAACCCAGTACCCATATTATAGTTTGCCACAGTTCTTCTCTTACATTAAAATAACATAATAATATATGTATGAAATTAAGTAAGAATTAAGGAGTGAAAAAACAGACTTAGGTCAAGTTAAAAGGACATATTGAAGGTGAAAATAACAATTAAGATCACCAAACCAAAGAAGGAAGGTAATAGTACATCTGCTCTGGTATCAAAACAAAGTTTATCAAATAAGATTTAATGTGATTAAAATTATTTTTGAACATATAAATAGTGGTCTAAACTTCTTAATCGTTGGGGTTTCCACAAACTTTAGGATATGTCCCCCCGAGACCTATACTTTTTACAATCAACTCTCCTCAGCACAAAGTTGCTCGTTAGCTTGCAGAAAAGTTGGAACCCATTCGTCAACGCCTAGCTTTATAAACCATGAAAGATTCATTTCATTTTGCCGAAAGCGTGAACCACTTGAACGTTTCAATTAAGTTCATAGCGTCATTTGATGTAACCTCCTTGTTCACAAGGATCCCAATCAATGAAACTATCAAGATCATTTGTCAGCAGTCTGATCTTCTCTCACTCCCAGTCTTGGAATTCAAACGCCTACTGCTGATGTGTACCATGAATATACAATTCCAGTTTGACGACACTCTTTAACGCCAAATAGATGGTGTAGCTATGGGTAATCTACTTAGCCTTGTTTTAGTAGATATCTTCATGTTGAACCTTGAAAGGACAAAGTTGAAGCCAGCCAGCCAACTGATTTTCAGTATCAGGCTCATTTAAGTGATAATCTCAATTCCAATGGTAAACTGTAACTGAATAACATCCACTTCCTTTTCCTGATCATCTGCACGGTGAAGATTTTACTCTTGCAGATGAATACCTAAAACACTTTAAATTAATTTGATTTGTTACATTTTCATCATGAACCAACATCAGTTAGAGAGGTCACTGGGATCTATTTTGTCCTATTTTGGGACTCTTCATCATTGAACACACCCGACCCCGCGGATTATCGAACCCAGGACTTTCAAGTTACGAGACCAGGTTTGTTTACCGTTTAGCCGTTTGGGCTGCTGGATTCTAACTTTGTCAACTCATGAACCAGTGCTGCCTATACCATTTTTAAATTAATACAGAGAAAAAAGCTGTAACTTACATTTCATCTTTACGAAATACCAACCAAGTTATTGTAATAGACAAAGCAATCGGTAAAGCGACCAGAAATAAGACAGGTACTTTCCTAACACCTAGAATTCGACATAACTTTGAATCACATGTTATCCTACAGCAAAAGGAAAAGAAAAATACAAAAATAAAGATTAGTATGAGATAAAATTATATATATATATATATATATTTACTCAACAGCCGCTTGCAATCAACCCCCTCCTATTGTGTGAGGGCTGGTTATACTAGCAGAAGCTATCCAAACCTCGATGCCTGGAGCAAAGTCTAGAAAGGTGACACACACACACACACTGGTTGGAAGTCGACACCCTAGACCCATGAGTTTGGTGGTTTTCGGGAGGAGCAAACGCGAATGAATTAGGTAGGCTTTAGACAAAGAAGAAGGTGTACCGATCATATATTTACCTTTCGACAGATTCTGGAACATAGGCATACTTACCGGCGGTGTCCAACAATCGTCATATTTCTTGACCTGAAAGCGGTATTCGATTCCATCGACCAAGAGGTACTACGGAGATGTTTGGCTGTGAAGCGAATGCAGGGAAAATGAATCGCACTGATCAAGGCAGTCTACTCAAACACATGCAGCAAGCCAGGTGAGAATCCATGGAGGGAGTGGTGACAACCAGTGGTGTCCGTCAGGGATGCCCACCGTTCCCACTTCTATTTAAATTCATCCTAGACGTACTAATAAACTAAGTCCTAACTGGCCTTAAGCGACACGGAAATTACTGCCTGCTTCTAACACTTCACACCAATACCACCTCATTATAAAGATGTTACCAAACGATACTCTAACGTACTTGAACACTTAAGCAATCATGAAGGATGTAGATCACTACACACTTATTAGAATTTAAATGATGCATAAATGCTATAATAACATTAGAATAAATTTTAAAATCTCACTAGGAGGGGTTTCATTTTTACAGGGTAGGGTTGCTAACCTCACGTCCAACCTTCCCTCTTTATCCGCTCATCGAGACTTGAGAGTACGTTGGCCGGCGGTCGAACTCCGGACCACGTGAGGTGTGGTTGGCGAGCATTCGACCACTGAACCACTACCGACGCACAGTTAAATTTTCAAGGTTAATAAATATAACTAAAATGAAAACAATTTCTAAGAGCAAAGTATTTCACTATTTAAAAAAAGAAAGAACAATCAGCGTACCATTTAATAACCGAATAGTTTTCGTTTCTAAAAACTAGCTAACTAACTAACTCACATTTTGTTTATTGATGGAATAAAACGTTGAGTGATAAATACGAGAAAATAGGCGATTGAATATGTGCCCATCAATACAAACACGGTGATCAGGATATAAACTAGAAAATAAGAGAATAAATATTATTATATTATAAATATTATAATATTAGAAAATAATGATCCCAGAAGGAGATAGTACAATATAAATTGTTCACAACACTTTGGGTGTGTATCAGGTAAGTCCAGTAAGTTTAATATATATTATATTATATGGAAAAATGAACCTCTTAATAAATAGGAATAAAAGGTAATTAGTTATTTTTCCATTGCTACCCCTTCCAAGTGAAACACACACAGGGCTTCAAACTTTAAAGACTCAGTAGAGATGTTTATACGCGATGGCGTTGCAAGCCACACAACCAGCTTTCCCTCCTATCTAGGCTTACTACTGGCTAGAGAAAGTTTAGGGAGTGTGTATCGGCCAGGAGTTGATCCCCAAACCAAATTCACAGCTAACAGATATTCTACCCCTAAAAGCATGGAGAAAAGATACTACACTAATTTACAAAACCAGCAAACTTATTCCATATTAATTTGTTCATTAGATATATCACACTGTGAAACAGTACTGTTTACTCGATGACAAAGTTTCGAACACAATTTATTGTGCATAATCATGTCACCAACTATAACCTCACAACTTCAAAACTTTCGTTTTATAGTTTTCTTTATTCTTTCCTATTTGTCATAGGAGTAGGAGAATTTTCCAGATGTCCAGGTGAATAAGTGTGGAATCATTTCTGTTGCTCGTATTTTCAGTTGATTTGATAAATGAAGCTTCCGTTGTCAATCTCTCCCTCGGCCCTGTTAAATTAGATTTTGAAACCGTCATATTATCCCATCCTACTGTATGGTTGTGCGTAGTGCTATAGCTGAACTATTCACAATATTTATTATCTTACTCCGGTCAACTAATCTGTTTATGCTCCGCTAGTCTGGCTGATCCTGTTCTACTACTTTGAACTATATATATATTTGACCTGACAATCATTGGAGGCAGGGTATAAGATAAACTTAATTTGAAACAATTAGTTCCCTTTATGAATTTAGACAAAGCAATAAGAAGACGTAATCTGTCTAAATCGTTTATTGTATTTGCGCAACATATTTCGAACAATCTGATCACACACAGAATTGTCATAGGAATATAGATAAAAATTCCGTGGTAACTAACTGTTTTTGAACGAATAAAGGAGGTTTAAACACCCTAATTGCTTACTAAGGCTTCCGCAGAATTAGGGATACGCCCCAAACACGTTCTATAGATAGGTTCGAAAGATGTGTAAACATCAGTTTTACGTCCTGTCTCTATAATATGCTTCACAATAGAGGATCCAGGTCTCGTGTTCTCACCATTAATGGGTTATGGGGATTCTATTTGCTTCTGAGGCCATTTAGGAATATGCTCTGAAGTCCCTCCTTGCAGGGATCAATGATTCCTTCCTATTTATGTGTGGCAACATGTACATTCAAATTGGTAAATGCAGTGGGATTTGACATCCTTTCTAGCATGTTCGAAGGGCTTAGATGGATATATCGGCTTCACATTCTCAACTATTATGATCTTATCTGCATAAAAAGTTTTAATGGCAACGTCCAATCTTTGTCTAGTTGTCAAGTTGCTTTGATCATCCATATAGGGTAGCTTGATGTACACGTCTTTCTTAGCGGCGAACTGGAAAGTCGGTCTTGGTGTTCTGACTACTTTATATCTCTTGATGAACTTGTCTGGATAATTGTTATCAACCAGAGTTTGTGTCAAAATTCTTTCTTCTTCATCAAGCGTGTCTTCAGTGCATATTCGTCGGATTCTACTGAAGAGGCACCTTACTAAGCCTCTTTTGTACCGAACAGGGCAGAGACAGTGGTAATTAAGATACTGTCCTGTCCAGATAGTTTTTCCATAAATAGATCTTTTAATTGACCCATCAAGCCGTCGACTAAGCAATATGTCTAGGAAAGATAAACAATTATCTTCCTCTTCTACATATGTAAGTGATATGCTATTCTGAACTTCATTCATTCGATTTAAAACTGAGGTGGCAGAACAATGAATTCTAAATACTCTGAGATCGACGAATAGATACCCTTAGAAAAAAGCTCATCAACAGCTCAATAAAAGAACTTATCCCCAGTAAACAAACTACCATGAACACATGTTTCCCAATCAGTGTGTCTATGAGGTGAATAAAAGCGAAAATTAGCATCACACCTTACTACTCAAAAGGTGGACTCACACACACACACAAACAAACATTATTGTTAGTATTATAAATCAGAAGGTTAAAAAAACTTACCAATAATATCATAGAAAAAATAACTTATCACTAAGGCCATAACTGCAACCAGTAGAAACACAACGATGATCAAATATGAGCATATACCAGTTTTTGGTAATCCACTATAACGTTGAGTAAACTCTAATAACCTAAATTAGAAACATTATAATGACACAGAATGAATACTACATTAAGACATTAGAATACCAAAAATTATTGCTATTATTATGTCACATGAATTTAATCTGGTTCAACTGGTGTATTTCTCCATAGCTTTCCACCATCACTCGTATTTTCATTTACCTTTCCAGTCCCCCAGGTCAATTTCTTAATGTATATGTTTCAAGCGGTTTACACCTTGGAATATTTTACAGTTATGTCAGGTAATATGGTGATAATGTATTCCGATCTAGCTAATGAATATAATTCATATGGCAGATTAGTTGCTAGTAGCTTATTATTGATGTAAAGGATTTCATCATGAGCCGACATTAGTTACAGAACCATTGGAAAACCTGAGAATACTGGATAGCTGTTTCGTCCTAGTTTGGGACTCTTCGTCACACCCGACCTGCTGCACCCTGAGGTGAAGACAAATACCCGCCGAAGACATTGGCTAGGGATCGCGTTATGTCGTTAATTGGAAGAAGTTGGAATTCATGAGCCATTGGATCGGATCTCAGTGGCTTAGTGGTATACGAGCTCGCCTTGTAACCAGAAGGTCCTGGGTTCGAACCCTGTCGGTGGGTGCGTACTAACGAAGAGTCCCAAACTAGGACGAAACAGCTGCCCAGTACTCCTTGACAGGTTTTCCAATGGTTCTCTAACTGATGTCGGCTCATGATGAAATCCTGTAACTAATCAAATCCCTACAAACTAACACTTGAATATTGATGTAAGCTAAGGTTATGTACTCAGACAAATAAATCACTGCAAATCTGACCAACTGGTCTCAATTCATTTTTTTCATTTCAAACCAATTTTAAATTGCCTTCTCGTAAAATGCTACGCGATAGTCTTCCTGTGTTAAATAGTATTACTTAAAAAGAAACCCGGCCTATTTGAACATTGGGCTACCTAAACTTCTTTCCATCTGCATAATGCATCTAATTTATCATGTTTTATTTGTCTCTATTGTATGAAAACATACTGTCAAATCGTACTATTTACTCTCGCTAAATGTTAAGATCAAGTGACTTTCAAGCTTTTAACAAAGCTAAGAAAAAGCATCATAGTGGTTGGTACATCGTACTACTATTCCTACTGACCCCATGATCAGTAGAAACTGCCGTTCTCTTCCCCCCAAGATAATCTATCTGCAATCTCCCTTATTCTTTGATACTTATCACAATACGGCTATAATCACGCTAGAAGAAACTTAGCTCCACGAGCTTCACGATGACAATCTGGTTTCACTAAATGGTTTCACACTATTTAGACAAAATAGGGTGTTGTTTTAAAAAGAAATATGGCGGCGGGATTGCGATTTTTATTCACTCCCAGTAGTCAATTTCACACAGTGTATGTTTCACATTTTCGAGTGATTTTATTGTGACTGTTTTATAATCAAATGTCGTCCCGAATACTTATCAAAGTATGAATTTTTGTTTCAAACATTTACGTTACTCCCTGGCCGGTCCCCCCTCGGATCCATCTAATTTTGAGGAGGAATTAACGGTTTTCGCCGCTACTTCTCTTGAGAACTCTTTATCGCTAGTTACTGCAGACTTCGATTCCTACAACTGGTGTTTCCTTGAATAATTAGGTCATGAAAGCATTGTCAACTTTGGTACTCAACTTGACTAGTGTTCACTAATGACAGTGTCCCAATAGTGAACTCTGATCTTTGCATTATTCGATTGTTGCCTAAAATATATGACAAGTCATACACGAGCGTCTTCTTTAACTTTTCAAGGAAAACGCAATAGAGATGCTACTAACAGGACAATATACATAACCTTAAATGCATATTGAAGGGCACTACTGATTAGAATCTATTCACTGAGCATACACTGGATGATTCAATCACTAATATAACAGATTATCTTGAATTCTTGATATAAGAATAAAACTTGTGCACTGTGGTAGAATGTAATTCCATTATGGGTAAATTTTGTTTCGATAAAGTCTCACAGTGTTATACAGTAATGTTTACTGATGACGTTTCGAGCACAATTTATTGCTCATAATCATATCTTGAATTCTGTCTCGACATTTATTGCCCGAAACAAGCTACATTCAAAAAATTTGACCGTTTCTCTTCTCCTCATCTCAAAGACCTGTCTGTCTGTTTTCGACATAGAACTTTGCACAAATGTGCGGAAGTTCAAGTCGCCACATTCCGTGTAGCACGCGAAGCAAGAGAAGAAAGTACAAGAAAAGCATAATAGAAACAGTGAGCAGAGGTGTGAGACAAAGGACCTACATACAGAAGTAGAACAGTTATTCAAGTCTAAAGACAAATCTGGTCTAATAGGAATTAACACCCAGTGAAGGTCAACATCACTTCGAATACCAGAGACTTTGGACATCACAAACCAATGTCCACCTTTACTAACAACAAATGGTAGTCAAGAGAAATTCAGAGACTTTTTTATTTCCTTCACTTTTCCAGTAGAACATAGGGCCTCAAGCTGGTGGCTTGAAGTTTCTGTAGCAGTGTTTAATTTTACAGGATGGGGTTGCTAGCCTCATGCCCAACCTCTCCTCTTTACCAGCATTATTTCTGGTTTAGCGAGGTAAAGGAATGTGTCGGCCTGGGATTGAACCCCGGATCATTTGCATGGCCGGCGAGTGTCTTAACCGCTGCGCCACCGACGCACCAGAGATTAATTAATGAGTGACATTTTGGCAGGTGTTACTGACAAGATTTGTAAGTAGTATATATAGATGCCGGTATGAATGTGTACATCAGCGTCAAGAATATCGAATGGCGAAGAGACGGATTCGATGAATGATGCTTGAGAAACAATATGGGAAATATGGGAGCAAGATAAAGAAGAGAAATATGAAAGACAAAGCAGAACAATATTGAAGATATATACAAATTGTGATTCTGCTATATGGTAGACCTCTGATTTCGCCTATATCCGTGTACTTTGACCGATTCTCTTTTGTAGCAACCGCATAGACTGACAATAATGTGCTGTGGGATGGAATTCTCATAAATATACTCCGCTTGTTCTTTATGCATAAACTCAATTGATTACTTTCGGCTGTATGCAGCTGACGAGAAGCCGACGAAATGTAAGATGATATCATTTTATTCTGTATACGTCGCTGGTTTTCTTTGTTGCTTTATTCAAATTCATAAAGGGGAATAAGTGTATAAAAAGGTATATAAAAGTTTACAGATTGTTCTCTGTTTACTCTGGCGATGCTTGACTGTAAAGGGAATGCCGAGAAAATACACTCCACTGATCAAGGCACTTTACTTGAACTCATGCACCAAAATGAGGGCTTACGGCCAGTTGTCATCTGAAGTGGTGACAACTAGTGGTGTCTGTCAGGGATGCCCACTATCCCCATTTCTATTCAACTTCATCATAGATGTACTAATGGACTTAGCCCTAACTCACTTCAGAGACTCAGGAATTGTCTTGGCACTAGGGAATAATCTTGTTGACTAAGAGTATGCAGACGATATAGTCCTTCTAGGCGACGACGCTGACAAAATAGCGCAGAGTCTTCTGAACACCTTGAGCTGCAATCTACGAATGTTTGGCATGCGATTAGCTCCCGCCAAATGCAAGATGATGTTACAGGACTGGACCCCACTGATTTCTAGATTAGATATAGGGAGAGAAATGGCAGAGCACGTTGATCGCTTCACTTATTTGGGAAGTACCATCAGCCCAAACGAGTTGATCTCCGACGAAATCTCAGTACGGATACAGAAGGCTAGTTTCGCATATGCCTGTCTGTTTACGCCGTCTCTGGCTTAGTAGACGTGATATCCAACTGGTTGTCGACCAAAGGGCGTGTGCACCACTCAGCAGCAATTCGCTCTGTCCTCCTCTATGGTCATGAGTGATGCATGGCCATTGAGAGTGGAATACATGAAAAATTAGCTGTCTTCGATCATAGGTGTCTGCGTTTTATCTCCAGTGTGAGATAATTTAATAAGGTAAGCAATATGAAAATTAGGCTTCGGTCGAGTGCTAGGTAAGGAGGGGAAATCAATCGACGAGGCTGTGAAATTACATCGACTGAGATGGTTAGAACATGTGTTACGTATGCCTAGTCATCGCCTTCCTCGACCTACGGGCAATATTAGCTGACATAGGGTCAGGTTGGAAAAGAGCCAGCGGCGGTCAAACAAAAACATGGCACCAGTCAATGAAATCCACAACAGTTAGTTTAAGCCACGTAGGAAGATGTAGACTTCCCGGTTGGGGTCCTCAGGACGGTAAACACCAATGGTTGGAAACTATTGGTGATATGGCTCAAAATCCTTCTCAGTGGCTCAGATGCATCCACTCCCTGTGACTTATGATTTCAAATGAAACTGTTTTGTTCTTCGTTACTACTCTTCCTTTGTCTCACACCTCTGTTTACTGCCTTTATTATGCATTCCTTCTACTTTCTTCTCTTGCTTTGTGTGTTACAAGGAGGGAGTGTGGCGACACGAAGTTCTATGTTGAAAACAGACAGACAAACAGATCGTTCTACTGGCTTATATACACAATAATTGGAGGAACATTCCAAACGGAATGATCTTTAGGGTAAATATACACCATTAGAGTTTATTCAATAAGTTAGTTACTGTTTGTGATATTTCCATAAAGCAAACTCTCTTGATTTGCATCCACATCTAAATATTTCTTTCTTGCACTTACCTAAACAATCTGCAAACAGCACAAAACAAGGTCGATGAACTGTCGATTTATTTTTCTAGGGTAAAACTATAAATTCGATTCACTTAAAATTTCTGGTATAATCACTAGCTTAAAAAATTGTTTAGGTCTCATATTTGCACATCAGGAAAGAAGGTAATAGAAACGTAAGACGAACAAATGCAAATAATATAATAAAAATGTACAGTATACTCAAATTGTCACAGTTTACATAAAAAAAAACACATCACCAAGTAATATAGGTTCGTACAAGAAATAAACTAGACTTTGACTTAGTTGTCTTTTCTGAGCTG